TAACACAATCGAAGATTTGTCCAACGTTTGAAAACATGTATGACAATAATTTCATGAACCTATGATGATCTGTCTAGAATAATATCATTGATAGTCAAAGATAATATGATAAAATATAGACAAAAGTGGTGAAAAAGGCAGACAGCAACCCGTACAATAGATATAAGATAGTTCAATAAGAAATGATTGAAAGAGTTACTGTGATAAAAGGATTTTTAACTGATTTCGTAATGAAACGTTATATTGAAAAACATGACATGATACAGAAGAAAATTAATTTTACCTAACCCGCCATGTTAAACTTCCCTATCCCAAGCGTGATGTATACAACTTCCTTACTTCTCGAGTGATGTAAAGTATCAAAAACTCACTCGGTGATGTAATGAAACCCATTTAAATAACATTTATTGATTAACTTAAAAAATATACATCTATGGAGCCAACGACGTTCAACGCTAGAAATCAGCTGTGCTCTTGAATTTTATTGTTATGTTTTGAAGAATTTTCCTAACCTAGCTTTTGTTTGTAAATGAACGTTACTGTTAGAAGATGAGTGAAATGGATAATGATTAATATTGTTCGTAACCTCCTGTATATTGTCGGGTCAGGTAAAATCTTGTACGTTAGCGTGTTTATACATCACTTAGGTAAATTATGCAACTCGCTTCCGCTCGTTGCACAACCTTCACCTGCGTGATGTAAAAACGCTCTTACTACTCTTGTAAAGTAAATAGCTACAAGCTGCTATACCCGTGCTTTGCAACGGGAAGAAAATGTGACCTAGAGAGCTATTAAAGTGGTGCTGATGTGTGTTTTAAAATACAGCAACTCCATGATTTAGTTTGAAAATATAAACTGATTTAAAAGCGCAAACAGCGTAAACCTACTTACTTTCAAACCCCTACTTTTGATGTTAATAGATCCCTAAGAATATGGCAACATACCTTAGCATATTTTAGCAATACCCTTCATGAATAACATGTTTAACCATAATCCTTCAATTTTAGTCAAGCCTCTTGACATGTAGCTTACTCTTAAATTAAAAAATGAAACTTTGAGCAATACTTTACAAAACGTATAGCCTACAACCTCACTAACCATCCTCAATCTACATTCACAACACCAACGTCTTTTTCGAGTAAATAAACAAACACCAGTTCATTGTACAGACCAGCTGTTTCATTAACTAAATTAAATTAAATCATTTAAACATTGAAAGCATGCCAGGCGTAGCCCTTTGGAAATCAGCCTGTGGGGCAGCGCCCTCAGGGAATTCGTTCATTTCAATACTTTTTGGCAAATCTACACACTCTAAGCTTCATTTTGATGTGCCATATGCCTATATTTTCATTTGGTAAATGACCTTAACCGTTTACATAAAATTTGATTGTATCACTTTAATAATATAATAGATTACAAACAGAAAATAACATTGCAAATACTTCTTTTGGACAGTTCAGTAACTCCTAATAAATGTGTGTTGTTTAAAATACAGTTTAAAAATTAACAGCTGTTTCATTAAAAAGTATTATCCACATGACCAAAATGTAAACAAATCTGTGGAGGGATCTTTAACGGCTTCTGGGGCAGAGCCCTAAGGGAATTTACTTATTTTTTCTTTTGATAACTCATCTACAGACCAAAACCTTTATTTGGACACCTCTACCAAGTTTCTACGCCCAGCCGTTCTCTCGAATTAGTGGACACAAAGTTTCCAATTAAATATTTAGATTCCTCCATGTTAATCTTATGGGAGAAAACCTAACTTTGATGAATAATCCTGCCCAAACTAATAAAGATTTCAAAAATTTAAAAACACTTTGCAAAACTACAGATCAGGCCATTTTTTTACACTTTATTCATTAAAATCGAAATTCAATCTATGCCTGGCTTGTTCTCAGCCAGGTCTTTGCCCATGAGAACGTGACTTGAACTTGAGATCTTGCGATCATCTTTACTTTTCATTTCTATGAGGGGTCAGCGAACGTTTTGTATTGTTCATGAGTTTGTAAAGAAAATGATTTAATAATTTAAATTTTTAATTTTCATATGTTTATAAGGGCATTTAACAACTGCGCAATTAATAAGTACTGTAAACCATATTACTGTAAAAGGCCGGTCTTTATAAATTATATAGTTCTAAAAGAAATTTCTATTTGACCTCTTTGTCACAAAAACATACTTCTTTGTATAATGATTGTTATGTAAATGCAGTTGTCATCGTAATTTACAATTATTGATCTGTCTAAGTGTTATTTTTTCAATAAATGTAAATATCTTGTTTGGTAAACAAAGGATGTAATTGAATCTGTAAGTTAAGACAAGTATGCGAAAACTACAGTTTTCGATTAGCTCAAGCCTAAATTATATTGTATGTAATCTAGCTTGTTATATTTCGTTATTTTGTCACGTAAAAACATTTAAATTATGTATGATGTATAAATATAAAAAAAATTAACAACAAATCCATTTGAAAGTAAAGTTTAGACATTGGTACGGTCGACATTGGTACATTATCATTGGCGAAAATGCTCATGCACATTAACATTATTGCGGCTATGTGTTTAAGTTGTAACATGGTTTAATTTCATATAGAAATTTGAGAAAATAATTTTTATTTTATTTTTTGTTGTAATGATTTGAAATTAAAGTTTTACATTTACAATAGTCAAGAGTAGCCTGCAGTAGCAAGACTTCTTGATAAGAAAGCTCTGGAAGCTTCCTTATCACCTGGTCCAGTGCATGTGCTGGCCAGAGTAGGGGTAGAAGGTTCCAGAACTGAGATATCTTATATAAGGGAGCTGCTTCCATGTGGGGTTGTTAGTTCAAGAGTGTAGATGTACAGTGTCCAGACCTGGGGTGAATTTTCTGCAGCCTACTCAATGAGTAGTAAGTTTATTTTATTTTTTATGTTATTTTAATTCATTCACTTTTATCCCTCCCTCTCTGCTAATTATTGTAATAACAAGAAAGACCATAGATGTTTTCTTATTAAATATTAAACTTTGCTTTCAATTAGTAAAAGATGTAAATATAAAATGCACCTTTTTTATTCTTTTAGAACTTATTTAATAGAGTTAAATTTGGATCTAAAAATAATAAATGCTAATTAAAGTAAAGTTTTTAAAGTTTCTAGAAAAGTTTAGCAATTGTAAATTTTATTTCATTCAGGAAGAAATTAATGTAACCTAATTTAATTTCGAAGGATTTTAATTCAATTGTTTAGCTTTTCAATTTAAAGAAGTTTGGTACATTAAAGAAATATGTATTTGTATTGTAGACAGATAAGCTAGGAACGGGTTTGTTTGTTCACAGGGCTCAAGTGTGTACCAGTGATTAATGGTTTTAAAATGTCCCATAAAAAATATTAGCCGAATGTTTTAAATTTGTTGATTTTTATATTTAAAGAAAACTAATGGAAGTAAATAAATTTCAGTTTGATTTTGGGTTTGGTTTTGAAAGTGTTTAGAAGAAACTGTTTTATTTTAAATAAACCATGACTTTTGTAACAATGATGAATTTTTATTTTGGGTCTCCTCTTAAGGCCAATTCCACTAAATAGAAGATAATTGATCTTGGAAATAACGTTACAAAGTTGAGACACGTTTGTAGAAAACACTAAAAAGGCAATCTTCTAAACAATTTTAAAATATTTACAACTTTAATTATATAGAAATGTTCATAACACAGTAAGTAATTCCATTAGTTGCATAAGCTTTTACGTAAGTCTTTTTAATTAATTGAAAATTGAGTCTGTAATAACTCCTAAAATAGCTCCTGTAATACCGGTACTTGATAATTGCTTGATTTCTAGCAACGAGTACACAAGTTAAAAATTCAACAATGCATTAACATAACAAGCTCTCTTTCACGCCGGCAGAACTGCGGTATTGGTTTACCATACACGCCTGCAACGATGCGCTGCAAACCGCGCGACGAGTAGCTAAATGAACCGTAGAGTAAGTGAGCCTTCTAATATTTGTAGAGGGTTCACTTACTCTACAGATCATTGTGCCAATGAACTGTAGAGTAAGTGAGCCGTCTTCTATTTGTGTAATAGTTATCATGAAATAGGCTCGTATAGTATACGAGCCTACTCCTGTAATTTATTTAAATTCAGTATTTTGGCTCGTATACTATACGAGCTTATTCCTGAATTATTCAAGAATTCATACGCTTGGCTCATAGGCACTATGATCTGTAGAGTAAGTGAACCCTCTTCATTTATTTGATATTTTTGATCGGCTCGTATAGTATACGAGCCTGTAGTGCAAGTGAACCTTCAATATTATTTACGAAGCTCGTATAGACTATGATTTGTAGAGTAAGTGAGCCATGTGTTTTAAGAATTACATATTTGGAGGCTCATTGTGTCAATGATTCGTAGAGTAAGTGAACCCTAACCTACTGATGAGCTGTATTAAAAATATTAACTGCTCAGACGTACTGTTGATGAAAGATGCACTAAACTTTATGTATGTGAATGGTCAATGGTAATACCTTAGACTAAATTAAGCAAGTTATTGCAAAACGCGAAATAATAGCTCAAAATTTATATTCGTTTCGTTGGCCTATAAGATTGTACTGGAATGTCACTGTCAACCGACTTCCATTTCAAATCCTGACTTAGGCCTAATTTCTTCTATAATTAATTGTAATCAAATTACCATTGACTATTGGATACTGATATTGTTGTATTAATAGTCAAAGATATTACGATACTAAACAAAACTAACTAAATATTTTCTTCTGCCTCTTCCGCCCGATAAGATAGTCCATATCCACCATGGTCCATACTCCTGTCACTGAGTAAGTTATGCGCTGCTAACAGCTTGAGCTTACTGCAAGCAACAGCTGATTTTACACTACATAGATCAGCTGTGTTGTGTTATTTCTTAATTTATGTAGTTGTCTGTCGTGGTTCGTGGTTGGTTGTCAGTTGTCAAAGTGATCTAACCAAACCAAGTACGGTAAGTAACAAGAATAAGAAGAAATGATAAGTTTAGGGCTGGCGAGAAAATGTGAATCTTGGCTGAATTTCACTACCAATTTATTTTTAAGTTTATCATGTAGTCTCAGTAGGAAGGTGGTAATGAAATTTATTAATCATAAGACAAATTATTATTTTTAAATGTAGGCCTAGGCCTAGTATCGTTCTATTGAGAAGGTTTTGATAAGTTATGGCTGCTTTGTTAACCATAGCCTCTTCTTGTCTATGTTTGTTAAATTACTTTTTATTTAAATATCCAAACAATGAAGAGCATCCTGTGGTTTACCCCTATGTTATGTCAATTGATACAGTTTTAAGTTTTAAAATATTGACGTTTGTCTTGCAAAATAACAGTTTCATAATTCATCCTTCAAAATAGGGCTGCACTTTACTTGACGTCCTACACTCATTCGAATGAAAATATCGATCGCTATATCGATTAATCGATTGCTTCATTCGATATAGCCTATCGTTTGGTTAGTTAGGTAAGGTTAACCTAACCTAACTTTAACCAAACGATATATCGAATGAAACAATCAAATGAAAATATCGAATCGAAAAAACAATCGAATGAGTGTAGGAGGTCAAGTAAAGTGCAACCAAGTTTAGGTTTTACATTTTTTTTTATCTTTAGGCTATTTTGAAGGATGAATTCATAATAGACCAACTGGTTGATTTTTTTGAAGGCTCGTATCTTTACACGAACGATCAACATGGGTTTCGAAAGGGCAAAAACCACTCTGATGCTAAATCTAACATCGGTTATTGTTTACCCTAACATCAAAAATAAATTATGCTTTTGACAACATATACCTGATAAACCTAACTTCTATGTGACTTCAGTAAGGCGTTCGACTGTATCTCACTTGACGTCCTGCTGAGGAAAATAGAAAGATACTTACTGGATAAAGAATGATTGCAACAAATACCTTTCATGACTATTTAACATTGACGTTTAACATAGGTAGTTTACGGCTGCACTTCACTTTGGGTCCTACACTCATTCGAAGGAAAATATCGATCGATATTTTCATTCAAATGAGTGTAGGACCTAAAGTAAAGTGCAGCCTTAGTTTACCAGCCGGCACATGTCACTGACCTTTCTTGTTATTTTTTTAGAGCCTATTTTCATCATGACGACTAAAAAGGTAGTGCTTGTCACTGGTGGAAGTGGTCTTGTGGGGAAAGGAATTCAGACTATTGTTGAAAGTGAAGATAAAAGAGAAGATGAGAAATGGATATTTGTAGGATCAAAAGAAGCAGACTTAAGGTAAGGTAGAAGTAAACAAACATTACATTTTGCTAGTAAGTATATATTACAGTAGACTCCCTCTGATCCGGACACCTTTTAACCGGACATCGGTTTAACCGGACTACACTCGGCGGAATGACATCTCTTTAAGCGGACAATTTTTACCAGCCCATCGGTTTAACCGGACTAGATCGGCAGAAAGTGGGCGGTAACTTACTGAAACAACTGTTCTCCGGATAAGAGGGAGTCTACTGTAAAAACTATTTTTTTTAAAGTTTAGAAAATTATAACTTAAAGAACTATTAAAGCTATATAAATTCCTAGGCCTACTAGCCTAAAGATTTTCATACCTGTACAAGCTTTTGAACTCACTGTACAGTAAACTTAAAAGTCAGTTTAATAGGCTATATAGACCTACATTTTTAACTTATTAAGAACAATAAAAATGGCTTAACATATGTAAAATTCATTTTAGCTTATTACCGGTTCTTCATCCTTTACCCCACAAGGGATTGATGGCGTCATTAAAACATGAAACCTAATAGGACTACATCGCAGGGGCAGATCCAGGAAATCTGTTGAGGTTCTGCGCCCTCATGAACAAGTTTGTTGCTCCTAGACTGCAATTAACTTACTTATTGTTATCCAGTGGTATAGTGGTAAATTATCCAATGCGGCAACGCAGTCACCATTGTATTAAAAAATTTGGTTGTCAATCAATATAAAGGTTCTTTGGAAAAACCAGCGTGGGAATAATGCCATTCCCAAGCGTTCTTGCTCCACTGGGCATACCAGCTGCCTGTTTAAGTCGATTATCGATGTTTTACGGGTAGTCCAGGAGCTGAGGGGGTTTGAGCATGCATGAAAGTAGTACGCAATATTATTACTGATTATTGTAATATGGACTGTGGTGATAAAAACTACGGACCTATGTACCCTATTTAAAAAATGGTCGATTAGGTTGAGGGAGGGGGCAAACATGACGGGGAGCGCTATGCGTTAAAACGCTGATATCTCGAAAATGGTAAAAGATATAACATCCGTTAGAACGTCGTTGTAATCCTAAAAATGTGGACTACGATAATGGATATTAGGTCCGAGGTCGTATCTCTAATAATAAACAATTTATTGTTTAAAATATTTAAAAGTGGACTATTTGTGCAGTTTTTTTTAACCGAAAGTAGAATTAATTAGTAAGTGTCGCAAAGATGTAATATCATATCTTTGCTGATACAGTCTGATAGTTGTAATACAGACTGTGGTGATAAAAAATACGCATGTTACCTACTTTTAATGTGGTCGAGAACTTCAGGGATGGGGACAAAGATGGCGGAACACGCTATGCATTGAAACGACTATATCTCGATAAGGATACGACTTGGGACATCGGTCAAAACGTCGTTGACCGATGTCGTGAAAAAAATATGACCAAAAAAAAAAGGTTTGATACTATTTTGTACCACAAAGTAGTATCAAATTTGCATTGGTATAGAAACACATACAAACATAAAAATGATTAGCCTATCTCTTCTTTTCCAGAGATTATGATGAAACAAAAAAGATGTTTGCCAAGTACCAGCCTACACATGTAATACATCTGGCAGCTATGGTTGGTGGATTGTATTACAACATGAGCCACAATCTAGACTTCTTCGTAAGTAAGTTTTTTTCCGTTCTCATTATTATTAACTAACTTAACATATATCTGGTCTATGCTGAGTGCATGGCAACGTTGGTGGCGCTGCCTACGAATTGACAGGCAAAGCTCTCTCAAAACACTTAATGCTTTTTACCATGCGGTTGGCATTCTGGGTTATAGTAGTATGTTTTCTGTGATTTAAACCACTAGGTACCTAATTATTTAGGCCACAATTTTGGGCCTGCTCTCTTAACTAATGTGAGATACTTGATACCTGATACTTATTTGATACTTTGTCTTCTTTATCTTTGACCGTGACTACAGAAAGATATCGTCAAATTTTCAAAAATACTTTTGGCAATACAGCTGTATTTGACCCTCAGCCACAGTTATCCGTTTCACTGTGACTGACTTGAGTAATGGCAGACAGTAATAAGGAGTTAAGGAACTGTGTAGTATGCAGTGCGCTAAAACAATCAGAAAGAACATTCATTGACTGAAAGTGCCTAAAGCCTTTGCACGTTTCCAAGTACAGACTGGAGCGACAAAAGAGTTCTCTCATTGTACCTGCTACAATGATATGTGTACAATGATAGCCTACCTCATGAAAATACAGTAGAACCTTGATAACAAGACTCTCATGGGGATTATAAAATAAGACTTATTATCAAGGTTGTCTTATTATCAAGGTTTGCAATGACATGTGATTAGGAATAAAATCAATTCTAGGGGATTTAAAAATTATACTGTAACACTCTATTTCTTAGTACTTGAAAGTCTGCATAGAGGGTCAGATAGCATGGAAGGTCAGATACGCAAAAGTAGAATAATCAAGATTTAAGTTTATTATATTATGTTTTGTCATATGTGGTGTTATAATAAACCAACATGTACTTCCATGTTTAAGAAAAAAGTCATGTTATTCTATCAAGAAAACATGTACTTATGAAATTTGTAAGTTTATGGTTTTGCTTCACGGTTTTTTGTTTTAGCGAATTCACTGGAATACCAATTACTTGGTGCCCTTGGTGGCTTGCTGCATAGCAACAGCCTATTCTTCACCAGCAGCTGCAGTAGACTCTCGCTCATCCGGATCGGCCTTGTCCGAACTCCCGCTAGTCCGGATCGGCAATAGTTTTTTTAGTGGCACAGTACAGTAGAAGTCCGATTATCCAAGCTAATCAGGACCGAGACTACCTTGGATAAACAAAAACTCGGATAACACGGAGGTAAAAATTATAACTGGTGGAATTGCATTTTTCCGGCTATCAATACTATGGACCTGGGACATGATTGAAAAAACGGCTATATAAAGTAGGCCTACTGTATTGGACTGGACGTCCGCCACATTAGTCCGGATGAGCGAGAGTCTACTGTACTAACAAAACTGTAGCAAAGTTAGCTCCTAATGTTCTGTTGTTTATTTTCAGAGAAATAACATGAAAATAAATGACAATGTGCTGCAAGCCAGTTTTGAAACAGGAGTGACCAAAGTCGTCTCATGTTTATCCACCTGTATCTTCCCAGATAAAACAACATATCCCATAGATGAGACAATGGTATGAATGCAACAAGATAGCATAGATGAGTAAGCAGCATGGTATTTTTTTGTTTTGGCAAGTTTTTAGGTTTTACTGATTTATATTCTGAATGGTAAATATAGTAATAGTCACATTTCAAAAAACTATTTTATGTATTCCTTAAACAACAACCAAGAAAATAACAGCATTGGCTAATTTCTGGTAAATAGCCAAGGTTTTGAGTGTTAGGCTTGTGCTTTTGAAATCTCCTACCCAAGGATTGAGTAGAGGACTGATGCTTGTTGGTGTTGAAACTGACTGTTAGTGACTTAAATATATTATTTCTTCTAGAAACTTAATTACCGGTACCATCGAATAAATTTACTCATTTTATGACACTAAATATAAATAACAAAGACAATAATCAATAATATATATTTGGATTAATTTCTTTTAGAGATCTACATGTAACTGTTCTGCTACTATTATTCAACATATTGGTTATCATAACAGATGAATTATTCTTGTTAAATTATTGTTTTTCTTTTTTACTAAAGAGCTGATAGGTAATAATCTTGTGCAGATTTTTCTTACAAAGCGCTACAAATTTTTACAATATAATGTAAAATATGAATTTTTTTTAAGCATAGCTATATTTTAGGTACACAATGGGCCACCTCACTCTTCAAACTTTGGCTACAGTTATGCCAAAAGAATGATTGATGTAGCCAATCGAGGTTATTACGAACAGCATGGCAAGACGTTTACCTCTGTTATACCTTGCAACGTGTTTGGGCCCCATGACAACTTCGATCTTCAAGCCAGTCATGTCATACCGGGGCTTGTGAGGAAACTGTACGACATAATTGATCAGGGTAAGTGTAGCGTAAGCCAACAGCAGTCAGTTAACTGCACAAAACTTTTCCTTGTCTAAAAATATTAAACTCGCTATTGTAACATACCTTATCAATGCTGTCACTGTAGTTTTATGCCTACAAAACAGATCACTTCTTACTCAAGCATTAATTTAATGTGTATAATAGAAAATATATATATATTGTATAATGGAAGCTAAGTGTACTACATAATTTACCAAACGTCAAATGTGTTACCAAAGGATTGATTAAATTACAATTCTCAAACCTTTTGACATAAAGTTAAATTGAAAACATTCCAGTTTATCTTGGCTTTGAATGGCATTGAACATTTAACGTTTGGTAGGAAAATTTCATGTTTGTGCCTGCGATCAAAATATGCACGTCTCTGTTTTGTCCTTAACATTTGATCGTCAGTGTACTACAGCATTAGACTCCTCCCACCCTATTCATCCCAAAAAGGGAATTTAATTTATCAGTCAGTTACTCATCACTGAAGGAACACCTGATCGTTATTTTGATTGAACGCTGTTTTGAATTTTCTTCTGTAGACCTGTAATAATTTAAGTCTCCTAGGACCCCTAATAATATTATTTTAGGAGCCTGAATGAATACTTTATAGCCCCAATTTTTATGAATAAGTTATTGGGGAAAGGTCCATGAGCAAATTTAGTGAAGCTTTTAAAAATATCAACATTTATATCCTATTTAATTATGCAATAAATATTTCCCTCTCTTCTCAACAATCAGATATTCATAGCGTTTTCCAATTTCTTTGCCAAACAAAGGGATCCAAATGGCACATCAGACTGATATCTGAAGTATACAGTCACTTTGATCTTCAGTTGCAGCCCCTCAGTTAACTCCCACCATACTTAACTAGTTGTTGAGTAAAGAAAAGATGATTTGATTTTTCAAATTACATGGGCTATTTGAAGGTTAGGAACATCTTGGAATAAAATAAAACTTTTGTACAAGCAACAAATTTTACCAAAAACATTTGAAATAGGTAGTAGTTTTAATACTACGTTTTTACAATCATAACTGCTAATCTAAATGAAGCACTTATCATAGCGTAAGATGAGATTTGAAATTTGTTGGCCAGAATTCCGCCGACTGCGAGCTCAGCCATCTGGTGATATGCAATTGGGGATGTCAACAAAGTGCTGTATTATAACTAGGTCTTTAATTTAGGTAAAAAATCCAAGTCACTTGGAGGAAGGTATTGACTGGTGATTAAGGGGAAATTGCCCATGTGAATGAATATAGAAGGTCATGTGTGTGGCTATTTGAGCTCAAGCCGACAAAAATTCTGGATATGTTAGTGATGTGCGTATCGATACATATCGATACAGATATCGATACAAGGACCGCAAAATATCGATATTTTGTATCGATACGTGGGAGTGTATCGATATGCATGTATCGATACACCTATAGCCAATATTGTATTGAATATCGTATTGTTTATTTAATAATATAAATCTTATTTTTATGGTAAGAAATTTGTCTTCCCATCTTCCTCCCCTCAAAAGTAGTAGTGGAAATTTGATATTTTACCCTAGCATATTCAAAAACCCCGATAAAACATGTATATTCAGCTATGTTTTGCAAAAACCTCAAAACTAGGGCACGGACGCCTTTAACTCCAGGCCGCGGCCTTTGAACTGGCAACGTCGCAAGTGGTGTTGTAACAGCTGTTTTTGTTTGGAAGTAGCTAATGGTATTTGTGTATTTACGAAAGATTGGTTACTGGACTATGACAATATTGACTCCGCTTAAAAATGTACAGATATAGATTTTAATTCATATTGTTTCGGGTTTCAATTCTGTATGTTTTATTTTCAATATTTTAATAAATTTATATTAATAAATTTAAATTTAAATCATTAAAGTGCGAATTAATGAGCTGATGTCACCTGTCTGCCATGTTATCTTATGGGACGTCTGTCACTGAACAACATACCACTTGCGATGTTGCCAATTCTACCAGGCCGCGGCCTGTAGTTAAAGGCGGCCGTGACTAGGGCCACCATTAATGGAAGTGGGGACCCTCATTATCCATATTATACTAATTAATGTGTAAGTGGCATACCCACCATCATTATTAGTACTTTTTGGTTCAATTAATTATCCCTGTGTAAAAACTAGGAAAACAATAACAAAATGTTTTCCAATTTTGAGGGTTTACCGGAATTTGGAGGTTATGTATGTATGTTTGATACAAATAAAAAGACACAGGAAGGAAACGGCTTTTCTGAGGTAAGATTACAAGCACTAACCCTCTTTTCAAGCTTGTAAGTAACATAGTATTTGTCTATGCAATTTGTATATTTGAGATATTTAAATAAAAAAAAAAAATTATAAATAAACAATACGATACGATATTTTATCCGATACAGATAAAAATCGATACATGAGGATACGATACGATACTCGTATCGATACACCACGTTCCAATACGAATCGATACGCAGTATCGATACATTGACCCGTATCGCCCATCACTAGGATATGTCAACTTTAGTTTGGCCATTTTAAAACTGAATGCACCATTTCGAGGCAGAACATTCATTTATTACTGTTGGCAACCACTGTAACGAGGTCTTAACTTGACAGGAGACGAGACTAGTGAAAATAAAAACAATATAATTAGTTAATACTACATCTGCACCGACACGGGAGAGAGGTGTAACGGTTGCTGGACTTGGACAGACTGAAGTAGTGGTTAGATACACGGGAATGGCGTGGTCCTGGCAGCCAATGGGAATTTATTAAAATCACCTGAAATGATGTCACGTATGTGGCTTGATATGGTGTGATGTACACACACACTTACATTTTATACAAATCTGGTTTCCTATAAGAAACGCTTACAAATATATTGAATACATAATATCATCAAACATACTACAATTACGTTGCTCCCTTAGACTTCACACACTTAAATAAATTTCTAGAGGTTTTAGTTGTTGGCCAACAATACCTATATTTAAGACCGAACCTCACAACTAGCGGTATTTTAAATTGCTACATAGTTTTTAGACTCTAGTATTGTGACAACAGGCAGCACAACGACACTTTTGTCATTGAGAAGGCAAACACGGCTGTACTAGAAAGTATGCAATCAGCATGTGCGGTTATCGGCATAGACCGAAACGTTCCATACGTTCTGAATAGCCCTCATCGTATGTTACTAACTTTGGTTTGCTTTAAGTCAATATTGAAATGGAAGGGTGTTTGGTATAGTGATTTGCTCATTTATCTTCACAAAGCTTATTTATTTTCTTTCAAAAGCTCATTAAAAATAGATAATATCCAAACTTTGGAAAAATTTAGCTTTTACGATAGAACAGGTTTGACAATATTGATTTTATTGTGTTTTTTTAGGGAAGAAAGAATTTGTTGTCCTGGGATCAGGAAAGCCTCTTCGCCAGTTCATATTCTCACTTGACTTGGCCCGTTTGATGATCTGGGTTCTCCGCAACTACGACTCTGTTGACCCAATAATTCTTTCAGGTATGATGTTCAACTCTTAATCAAATATTCTTTATTCAAGTTTAGACAATATGTCTAGAATAGCGTCTTAAACTAACATAAACAAAAAATTATAAACTAAGTAATATTAAATAATATAATAATAAATTATATCTAAAATGTTCTAGAAAAAGTACTACAAACAATACTACTAAACAATATATATTCCATAGATTATTTGTTTGTGTGGTCAAGATTACTAGTCTTTCTCAGCAGGCTAAGTTTAATTGATTATTACAATTATTTATAACTTTGATATGATTGTTAGTAGTAGTAATTGCTGAAATATACCTATAATGTTCCAGTTGATGAACAAGACGAAGTGTCCATAGCAAAACTTGCAGAACTTATAGCAGCAGCATTTAATTTTGATGGCAAGATTGTATTTGACTCTTCTAAGGCCGACGGTCAGTACAAGAAAACCGCTAGTAATGCCAAACTACGTTCACTGCTGCCTAATTTTAAATTTACACCTCTTGAACAAGCCATAAGAGAAACTGTAAAGTGGTTTAGTGAAAACCATTCAAATGCAAGGCTTTAGCCATAAGTGGTAATGGTACATTAAAAATATATTGTTTTGGATAAATAGCTATAGTTTTCTACTTCTACCTTGTTCAAACTTGAATTTTCTTTTAGCAAAGTTCCCATTTAGGGAATAAGCTATTACCGTTGGTGTCATTGTAAAACCTAAACCCGGGACCGATCTACTTTTTTGTTTTCGGGTCGCCAGAGCCACGGCCACCTTTAACTCCAGGCTGCGGCCTGGTAGAATTTTAGCAACGTCGCAAGTAGTGTTGTTTAGCGCCAGACATCCCATAAGATAACTTGGTAGACAGGTGACACCAGCTCATTAATTAAATTCAAATTTATGAACATAAATTTATTATAAGATTGAAAATAAATCATATAGAATTCAAAAGCAAAACAATATAAATTGAAAATCTATTTCTATACATTTATAATGGAGTCAATATTTCTATAGCCCAGTAACCTAGCTTTTGTATTTTTATTTTAAATACACAAATTACCATTAGCTGCATCCAAACAAAACAGCTGTTACAACTACAACTTTACTTGCAACGTTACTACTTCGAAGGCTGGGGCCTGGATTAAAAGGTGCCCGTGCCAGAGAAAAACACCCTCCATTCAAATTCATATATATACAAATTAATATATGAAGTGGCCAAATTCTATATTAAATAATTGTTAAGTCTAGAGAAATTAGCTGAAAACTGCTGCCTGATAAATCCAAAACAGGTATGTGTATTGTGTATTCTATGTTTTCAAAGCAGAAATTATAGAAAAATTAGTCAAGTTTAAACAGTGTTTTGATTTGAATGAATGGGTTGTAGTTCACTTGCTTTGTATATCTGAATCCGTTGCTGGTAGAGTGGCAAAATGTATTGTACGTGTCATCGGGAAAAGTGTTTACGGTACTCACATGACATTAATGCTACTCATGATACTCCCACAGTTTTGTAGCGTAAAATACTATCACAAGTTAGCTTTCCTTAAGGCCCGTTAAAATGTATCATAACTTACACTTCATTGAATACTAACTTACTAAGACTAACCAGGGAGAGACAGAATTACAGAAGGTATATAGTTACATCAGCTAGGCCTACACGATTGCCAGTTGTTATCAGCACAAGCATAGATAGATAAATGAAGGGTTTAAAAGTAAAATTACTTTCAGGTATTTTTTAATGTTCCTTTATCAATAGACACAATATTTGATAGTACATAAATTACAATAAATATTAAAAAGTATGAATGTAAAAATATTTTTGACATAACTATATATAAAAAATGAGATCATGTTACATACACGATATTAACCAAAAATCCAGTTTGGCACAAAACTGAATAGCCTACAGCGTTATGAAAATAGCAGCTTACAAAATAAACTACAGAAGGTAAATTATATTAGTTGTGATTCACAATATGAAATAGCAATAACCAAAAATAAATATTTTACATAATTTGGATTGACACAACTTTAAACACAAAGAGTTATAGCTGAGAAATTTGAAAACTATTACTTTACTTTCACTTTCAATGCTTTTCACCTTCCCTGGGAAATTTTACTGAATAATAATTTGTTTAAATTTAAAGTCACAAAGACAAATTATGATCTTTACCAGATTATAATAATCACCACACCAATTTTACAACCTTTGATTACATTGACTGACTATAAATGATTTGTGTATTGCAAAGCACTTAACGGGATCAGTGAAGTTTTCCCTTTATTTGTCTTATATCTTCATTTCAGCCAAATTTAATAAATTGTCAGGATTCTCTAGTGTTATAAAACTAATACAGATTTACTTTCCCAGAGTTTTCACACTACTTCAATATTAATGATTCAAATTCCAAATACATATTATGTAATATGTTACTTAAAATCACTAGGTACGTAGAAGGTAAATTATTTGTTTCGTTATTATAAGATTGAGGAAGAATCGCAACAAATTTTGTTATTGTTTTTAAACACCAGTTAAATTATGAAGATGGACAGCATAAAAGAACTAGACCTACTATTTATCTAACCACAAACATGTTTTGAAATCCAAATACAAGAGATACATTATGAAGATGATGAACAGTATGAAACAACTTCTAATCGTTATCCCAAATACAATCACTTTACTTTACAGATTCTTTATAAATTCCAATACAATCAACTTAAAAACTATTATTAGAGTAAATAAATTCATAAAATTAGGACATTCAAAAAGATTACTGCCAGAACAAAATCACAATTTTATGCAGTACAGTACAGTAATAAAATGCTAATGCTAAAACTACTAACTAATGTAAAACATGTAAGCACAGTAGACTCCCCATTATCCTCAAGTGGATTAACCATGATGCGGATTAACAATGATAACAACAAAATCAAAAAGAAAATTTTATGCAATTTAAATGTATGTTGTCCAGTTACGGCCAAGATAGTTTGAGGAGGCCTATAATTTCGCAGGTAGACTAAAGAATTGTCATTGTTTACTTCACCTAACATCGATGAGTCACTGATTACAACCAATGAGTTGAAGTTCTTATGTGCGTCTTTATTATCAAGGATGATAGAGAGTCCACTGTTAAGTCAAATTTAAAATAGACATTGATGACCTTCATAGAAGGGACATGAGTATTAAGGTTTGGCAAATCTAATTTGCCAGGAACTAAAAAGATTTTAAATCATTAATGATTATTTTATAATACAATAAAGGAAAACAAATGATTTGTTTCACAGGGAGTTTTAAAATAATGTATGAGGAACAAAAATTGTATGTAAAGATACAATTTAACAAAAAAGAAAGTAATAAAAATAAAATACACATTGTAGACAAAAGATAAGAGAAATATAATAAATTCAAGGCAAAAAGGCCAACAAATAAATAATTATAGTATATTTTGTAAAATAATTAATGTTAGGATACGCTCTTTATGGTTTCTGTATAAAAACCTGCAAAATTAATCCCACTACTCAGCTATTAAGAATACAAATGTCAAAAATAAATAAGAGTAGGTATATTTCTAAAACATCCTCAGGCATCAATATTATTGACTTTGAATCCCAATAGTGTGATAAGTTAATGATTTTACTATGATCAAAAAACTTTGTAAGAAGCAGGGAAAGAAAGTGGGACTACCTTTATACAAACAACTTTCTCATCAGAAACATGACACAAATGGAAACATTAAGAAAGCTCAATGATAGATTAACCGGCTACATGTCACACTCAGTATATTCCAATCCCATATGTTTTACCTAAAACTGAAATGGTTCAATGGTTCCTAATCCTTCTTCTTGGGTTTCTTCGGGTTCCTGCTTCGAGACTTTGCCTTACACAAAGGACAGATGGGAGCGTTGCGGTGAATCTGCTGATGGCAAGACAAACACGACTTCATGGGCGGCGGTTGTTGCCTAACAAGACAAAACACATACCAATAGATAAAAATCAAAACATAAATAAATTTGTAATGTGAAATTACAGTTATCTCTGGTCATTGATTAGAACACTTTCCAAAACTCCTGGGTAGCTGAGATATTACAGTACTTGCCTAGCAATCAAATGGTTGATGGTTCGATCCTGACAATTTTCAGTTACTTTTTTATGGTTCAAAAACTGTACTTGGCTGTCCTAATTTGCCTATAAGTAGGGGCCTAAATGATCCTGGCGACAGAAAATTGTTTTTTTTTTTGGATAGCTTGCTGCGTGAGTTCCCATTTTGTTAATTTATTGTTTAAAATTATTTGATACTAGAGGTATAATGTATTTTATTATAAACTATTTTATAATGCATACCTAAATAATAATAAAAATGTGAATAGTAGCTTTTAAATTAAAAAAATATTTTCTCTTATAAACTGAGGTTGGAAACTGAATTTTACTACTGTACTCAAAACAAAGGAACTTGAATTTTACTGGTAATATTAAACTCTCATCTCCAAATTTGAAACTAGATACATAAATTTTGAACACAGTTAATTTTAGCCTGCCTTCAAAGCTTATATCACCATATAGACTGGGACGGTGGTGTTGTCCTGTAAACCAGCTACTAGGAGGTCACGAATTGTGGATATTTATAGGCATGCACTGTGGATGTGATACTCCCTGGTGTGGATTAACATCACCACGAGTGAGTACTACGACTATTCGCAGTACTATCCTGATAATTAGACTAATTTGTTAATACCTAGGCAAAAATGTGGTTCGAATGCCACTATAAACTGTAGGTCCCTTAGTTGTCATTAGCCGTATGGGCTATTAATTAACAGCTCTGTCTAAGGAAAACAGCTCTGTCTAAGGAATAGGTTGGCCTTAGTCACCAACAAGACTACAAGATCGCGCCACTCATATTTGGGTTAAATAAGCACATACAGAAGAATCTCGCTAATTCAAATTTCAGAGGAAAGCCAATATATTTTGAACTATAGGAAGTTTGAAATATATAAAGTTTGAATTATAGAGGTCAGAATAAATCAAATTCGAATTATGAAAGTTCCAGTTTTAAGTGTTGGGAGTTTGAGAGAACTGAGACTAATGAACACATCGTGGGAACATCAATAAGAGCGTCAGTTTATGTTTGAACATGCATATTTTTTGTTCTAAATTTAAATTACAGAGGCTTACGGTAATGCAGTTTGAATTGTAGAGGTTGATTTCGAATTTTGGACGTAACAATTTGAATTGTAGAGGCTCAAGTAAGTGCAAAATTTGAATTGTAGAGGCTGCATTAAGCGTAAAAATCACTTTGAATTATCGGTATATTATTTTTTGAATTTTAGAGGTTTTCGAATTATTGAAGTTCGAATTAGCGAGGTTCTACTGTAATTAGTGGTGTCCCCATCTAAAATAATTAATTGATTGAATAGGTGTGAGAAAGGATAGGATAAGCAGGCTTACCTTAAAAAAAATGTAGGCATCCCACTTCATTCACTACAGAACACAGAAGAAAACACACAAAATAAACACTGGATATTTCGAGGCCACTGGCCCCTTTCTCAACATGGAGAGTCACATTAGATATTATGAGTCTTTCACTAGGATACCTAGATATTAAATTTCTTTTAATATCTAATGTGACTCTCCATGTTGAGAAAGGGGCCAGTGGCCTCGAAATATCCAGTGTTTATTTTGTGTGTTTTCTTCTGTGTTCTGTAGTGAATGAAGTGGGATGCCTACATTTTTTTAAGGTAAGCCTGCTTATCCTATCCTTTCTCACACCTATTCTCAGGCAATTAGCCCTTTCTCTCCAAACCTAATTGATTGAATAGATTGATTGAGCTTTATCCACCTCTGAGCTCTTCCTTATAGGAGGGTTTTCCCTTGTGTAAGGGATTAGGATCATATATCACATAGTTTGTTCAAAGTTTCCGTTGATTAACCATCGTCCTGGTTTAAAATGATTCAGGTTCTAGGCCTACTTAGCGACTAAGGTTGTACCTGAATGTAGGTGCAGGGCCAGGCACGGGTGGCATGGGTCGGTGGTGATCTATCTTGCTAGAGCTAGGCAGTAACTGCAGTGGAGGCTGCACGGGCGCCAGGAATGCAGAAGCTGCTGCAGCCTGGTGGGCGTGCGCGAAACTGGTGATTGTAGCGTTCTCTGGCCGCCAGTCTGTCTTGAAATGCTTCTCAAAATAACTCCGTGCAAACATCCTAAAACAGACCAGCAGTTCTCATCTTTGGTACATAGGATGGCTTGTTATATAAAAAATATCCTTTTTTGTCCTAGGACGCTAGGCACGAGCCCGGAATTGTTTTTCACATTACTTCAGGCAATGCCTGCAAGTAAAGAAAATACATTACCGGGTATGTCTTTTTTTACTATATTTAGGCTACTTAGAACTATTATTTTCTTACGTATCCAAAAACAATTTATACGTTCTAGTAAATAATGTATAACCATTCAAATAAAACATATTGAAATGTATGGTAAATGAAAGAAGCTTGAAAAACAACAGATGTCCAATCTACTTAAAACTATTTTTTATCCTCGGTTACTTAATTATTCTTCCTGCACCTCCTGAGATTTTAACTACGGTACGGTATATAACAAGTAGGCTATAATATGTAACACTTGATACAAAGATATATTTAACCACTAACCAGAGGGCTACAACAATTAGTATGCTCACCCAATAATAAATTTAATGCTTTAATGTATGTGTCCCACCATGTTCTTCTACTTGAAACAACTAACTTAAATAAATTTTGACCGATGCTAGAACATATAAACTGTAAACCAAAAATATTTTGGAAAAGTTATAGCCATCTTACTCAGGTGTAATTAATCCAGCTTCTTCTTCATGAAGTTCAGGTAATCTCTCAAGACCAAGGTAGTCTCGCCTCATCCGATCTATGTCTAGTTTTAAGGGCCTGTAGTCCTCATGCACTCGTCTTGCTCGATCAATGCACCGGCCTCGAGCTTCTTCAGCTTTCTTTATGACATTCTCCATCTAAATCATTAGGTTAATTAAAACAATTGTCGCTTTAAGAGTATAAGTAAAGTAGAACAAATGTTAATTTACATTCACCAGTCCTCTACTTAGGCTAAGCATATTACGCATTTTGACAGCAATGTTTAAATTACAATTAGTAAATCGGCTTAAATAGGCCTAGCTGCCTAAGTTTGGTGGCCTTTAAAAAAGAAACAGTAAAAATTGTTACATTTTTTTATAGCTTACTCGATTCACAAAATTTAGGTGGTTTTAGGGGAAGAAATCTATTATATCCTAATTATCCTCCACTACACCCTACCATAAAACACAGCTCAACAGCTGAAGCAACAAGTAAATATAAACAAACATTTATTCAACCTGTCAATCAGCTGCAACATAGGTACATTAAACAAAAAAAGTTGTGGTGTAACTTCCCCTTACACCACCTAAATTTTGTCAATAAGAAAAAAATCAATTGATAAATAAAACATATAGTTTACCGCATTTATGTCAGCATGGATCTGCCTGAGTTCTTCTACATGAGCCATTTTTTCCTGCATTAGAAGTTCCATCTCTTGTTTGTATTCTGAAAGACATTTTTCCTCTTGCTCAGAGGCTTCCACTTCTTGAACAATCTTTCCTTTCAGCTTTTCAAGCTGCAATGTTTTACACCTGAAAGCATTTTATTTTACAGAATATGTTCTGAAAGGAAGAGATATCTTTTTCAGGAATTTTCTGTAGCCTAGGCCTACCTATTTTCATTACAATGAATGGAGGCAACCCCAAATAAAAGGCCAGATTAACTTCAACAATTCAATCACCTAACTTAAAACAATGTTTTTATTTTAATACAGCCAAAATTAAACACAGTCCCATTATTTAAAAAAAGGAATTAAATGATTTACTGTCATCAAAATTAAGTTAACTAATAGTTCATGGCAATCGTCAAAACAAAGCAAAAACATCAAGATGGTATAGTTTTGGCTTTACAATGAGCAAGGCCAATTAAGTAAGACATATTACACTTGACTAACCAACACAAAAGACTTCACATCCCATTGTAAATTTTGAAGTTCGTTTTCCGTGTCTAGTTGATTGCAAGCATTTTTGAAATTATTATTTATTGTGTTTAAAGCCCTATTTCAAAAGTGCAAAAACAGTCATGATAGATAACATAAATCAACAACTCGATTCATTATACCTAAGTTAAACTTTAACTTCCCTATTCGGTCAAAATTCGTTACGTGCCCACAACTCTATTTTTTACCAATTACAATTGTAAAACTTATTGAAACCTTTTATATGTAATAAATAATTAAACATAGCCTACAATACTTATAAAAGGTTTTTTGATCACAGGCTAAAACCAATAGTCCACTAGATAAAACCAATAGTCCACTACCCCACCACCACCCTACTACAATAGAAAGCCAGAATAGACTCAAACAAACAGACAATCTCAAAATATTACATTTAAATATACAAAGAGGTCTCCTAAACAAAATTTACCGTCTAATGGTTGAGCTCCATACGCATACACCTGATCTCCTAATTATATCGGAGCATGGGCTGAAAGCTGATGAAATAACTGTTGTAAATATTAAAGGCTACACTTTGTGTGCTAGCTTCTGTCGAACTCAATATATGTGGGGGGGTATAGCGCTATTCAGAAAGAATAACCTGAAGACTGAAATAGAAGACATTCATTTCAGGAGTCTTCGGCCTTTTGGACCAATCACACCTTAGGTGTCTTCGTGTAGGGGACCAAAGTAAGTTAGACCTAAGTTACACAATTGCAGACGAATCTGTAACCTCAAAATTACGCCCTCGCGTCTGGTGGTAGACTGAGTCGAGGTAGGAAGGTAGCAGGAGAAACAAGTCCTGCACCCGAGCGGAGGGATCAGGAACTTGAAAATATTACGTCATCGGACCGAAGATACCACTCTAGGGTTGGTCACAACTAATGAAGCAAGGTTTATTTTAGTCAGTAACAAAGCTAAGTTAACTTGCAGAGATCAATTCGCTGCATTCTACACTCGACCTTCACTCTAATAAGGACACGTACCTAACTTAAGTGGTGTCCATTTCAATATCAGTACTTAAGTTTTAATCGATAATAGGCTAGTAGGCCCTACTCTAATATAAGTTAAATACATATTCAACAAGGTCTAGCCTAAAACAGTAGCCTACAGTAAGTTAACTTAAAATAAAGTTGAAATTCTTGCTGGCTAAACACCTGCCCAATTTTACTAGCACAAGCCTAGGCCAAAAAGAATTCTTTTTAACCTAGGCTAGCCTACTAGAAAAATAAAGGCGTAGGTGGTTGCTGAACTTTGGATTAGGCTAGCCTAGTCCTCCTTATTTTTTTAAGAAGGCCTGACAAATTGAATGGTTATTAACTTATATCTAACTTAGGCTTAAGTTATGTTTGAAGAAAAACTTAAATAGGCCTAAACTTAGCTAGTGTAATAAACCTTAACTAGGCCTAGGCCTATATTTATTTTGAAATTCCACATTTAAGTTTACTTACTTGATTTCTTTGATAGCCTCCAACTTCGCTAGAATATTTCTTTCGTTCGTTGTCGTCATTTTAAAATTTTCTTTACTTCAAAAAACTATTTTACAACTATTTGAGCTAGATCCTTATCTTAAATATATATAAAATAAAACATCATAATTAATTATACTAATCTAATAAGATTTCATATCCATTGAACACATATTTAATGAATGTATAAAGATATCACTTCTGCATCACTCAACCACAAGACAAGAGAACGCTTTTGTTTACAAATTTCATCTTATTTGACGGGAGACGGGGACGGGACAATCAAAGAGGGAGGAACCAAGCAGAGCATTCCGTTCATTTTTGACGCGCTCTAGTCCAGGTCCATTGGACCTAAACCATCACTTGTCTACTCTTATACAAAACTCAATACCATAGATTAAACATTATTACATCCCCTTTTTTCTAGGGCAAAGATTTTATGTTGAACTATAGAAATTATTTACTATCGTTTCAATCCATTTAAACAGTTGTGAGTAAAGTAACTGAGTAGGAAACATTACCATAGAGATACATTCGCCAACGATCTTATTTGTTTTATAGCTGTAAATGTAGAGTTCTAAGTCGTAACTCAGATTTACCATATAAATAGGTATACTTATCAAGCTATTATCAATTACTTAAGATGGGGACGCCACTATGATTTTATTTTAATATGAAGGAAGGATGAGTGGCGCGATCTTCGTAGTCTTGTTAGTGACAAAGGACTAAGGCCGACATGGGACATGTTCCTTAGACCACCGCCGCCTTTAACCAGGCCGCGGCCTTCGAACTGGCAACATCGCAAGTGGTGTTGTAAAAGCTGTTTTGTTTGGAAGCAGCTAATGGTATTTTATTTTTGTATTTACGAAAGATTGGTTACTGGACTATGACAATATTTACTCCGCTTAAAATGTATAGATATAGATTTTTTATTCATATTGTTTTGGTTTTCAATTCTGTACAGTATGTATTATTTAAAATATTTTAATAAATATATGATCATAAATTTAAATTTATAAAGTGCGAATTAATGAGCTGATGTCACCTGTCTGCCATGTTATCTTATGAGACGTCTGTCACTAAACAACACCACTTGCGACGTTGCCAATTCTACCAGGCCGCGGCATCGATCTCTATTATTATTATTAAAATAATAGAGATCGATGGGCCGCGGCCTGTAGTTAAAGGTAGCCGTGCTTAGACACAGCTGTTAATTAATATACATCCAATTCAATGTGAAGGACGAGTGTAGACTGCAGAGTGAAGTGAGATGGCTTGATTATCTTTAATTACTGACTAAGGCCAGGCTTCATTAGCTATAAAGCAAGAGCCCATGACTGCCAGACCTTCGTTATTTTATAAAATCTGAAAGTTTCTCAGCAAATGCTCCCAATTCAGTTAAGAATGATCGGCGACTATGAAATTTTGATCTTGGTTACTTTGGCAACAAGGTAACAAAGGTCTGAAATTTACAAAATGTTCGCTATAGTATAAAGCTTGGTTCTTTCATATTTTCTTCAGAGGAATGTTAAAAAAACATTTCCTCCATTGTCAGACACTTTGTGTGGTTTAAACCCTCTGCCAGACACCCTTAAAACTTAGGTATGACGAAGATTAATTTTCGTCATTTTATAAAAGCTGAAATTGATATATGTTACTTGGGGAGCTATCAAAAGACGTTTTCTCAAAAGCCAAACACTTTCGTTGGTTACTTCATCTAGCCAGACACTTTAAAGTTTACCGTGATAAGCTTAACTGTTACCTACCTGCAAACAGTAGATTCAGTTCCTGTTTGCCTTTGCCCTTTGCCAAATGTAAACGATGAAATTGCTACTTTCTTCCTCACCAACCATATGTTTGATGTAAACATATGTTATATTTGCATTTAATTGTTTGTTATTTATTCCTGCACTCTGCAGTGTTTTGAAGTCACTGTTTGTATAACTACTGTACCTACTACCTATATTACTACAAACTTTTAAAGTGTCTGGCAAGATAAAATAACCAACGAAAGTGTCTGGCTGTTGAGGAAACGTCTCTTCATAGCTTCCCAAAGTAATATATATCAAATTCAGCTTTTATACTATGATGTAAATTTACGCAATTACGATTGGAAATAAGTTGTGATTTCACCGGTTACATTTGGCACAGTAACCTATTCCAAACTGTAACCGAAGTCACTGTTTGTATGTAGCAGTTAAGCCCACAACCACCTATTGTATTACAGCAGACTTTTAAAGTGTTTGGCCAGACGAAATAACCAACGAAAGTGTCTGGCTGATGAGGAAATGTCTCTTCATAGCTTCCCAAGTAACATATATCAAATTCAGCTTTTATACTATGATGTAAATTAACGCAATTACGATTGGAAATAAGTTGTGATTTCACCGTTTACATTTGGCACAGAAACCTGTTCTAAAATGGAAACTGTTTGCAAGTAATGGTTAAGCTTATCACGGCAGACTTTAAAGTGTCTGGCTTGATGAAGTAACCAACGAAAGTGTCTGGCTTTTGAGAAAACGTCTTTTGATAGCTCCCCAAGTAACATATATCAATTTCAGCTTTTATAAAATGACGAAAATTAATCTTCGTCATACCTAAGTTTTAAGGGTGTCTGGCAGAGGGTTTCTTTAAACCGCACAAAGTGTCTGGCAATGGGGGAAATGATTTCTAACATTCCTCCGAAGAAAATATTAAAAAGCCAAGCTTTATACTATAACGATGGTTATTTGCAAATTTCAGACCTTCGTTACGTTATGGTTGCCAAAGTAACCAAAATCCAAATGTCATAGTCGCCGATCATTCTTAACGGAACTGGAAGCAATTGCTGAGAAACTTTCAGCTTTTATAAAATGACGAAGGTCTGGCAGTCATGGGCTCTTGGGCTACTAGCACCATTTATTTATAGCCCAATATTATTGTATGTTAATACTGTTCTGTTAATACTGTTCAATGAAATGGCGACCATACATATGCTCAAGTGTGATCTTAATCACAGGTAAATAGTTTTTACTAAAGAGCTCTAACAATAAATAATTTGCACAGTTGTGTCCCATCATAGATAAAACATACTCCTTTAGTAGATTTCTCATTCTTATGGAAATTGTAAACATTATCCATAATATGGATAAGCTGAATACAATGTTATTGTTAGTTATGTTTGGTGCACTGTAAAGGTTAATTGTGTTTTGTTTACAATTAGTTTCTTGTTATTTCAGTTATCTATTGTGTTGGTTTAGTCTATGGTCCCATTTTGTAATGGTCTCCCTCTGGATTTATAACCAAGGAGCTAAGTTCACTATTGACAGGAGAGAAAATGTATTCAATGCCTACAAGCATACCCTGACATTAAACCCAGATCCAGAACAAGACATCAAAACATTAAACTACTCTATCTAGATTGTGTGACAAGGCCATTTATAAACGGCCACAACACAAGACACAACATTATTCTATTTAGATACAGACAACACATCTATATTGATACGAACAACAACAATACAACAATTATTGTATTTAGATACGCTGGGCACACTTCTACAATGGCAATTCAAAATTATATTTTGATGTGAATTTCCCTATAGGGAAGTAGCTATTACCGTAGGTTGCACGGTTTAAGGGGGGGGCTTTAAGACCTAGGCCTGGGACAGATTTACTTTTTCATTTTGATGTCCCTAGAGGCTAAAAACACTAATCGTTCAAAATTATATATATATATAGGGTTATATATGTGTCCGTGAACGCGATAACTTGAGTAATATTTGTCCGATTTTGATGAAATTTAGCTTGAAGGTATATGTCGGGATAAACTTGAATGAGTTCGCACCAGCATGATCGGACCATGGGAACAGGGTTTAATGGGGGGAAAAAATTGGGTTTTCCCATTTTTGACCCTAAAAAACATTTCTCTCCGGACCATTTTGTAGACTTGTAGATTTGATGATTTTTTTGATGCCATGAAGGCTGCACAAAACTTAAATACTTAATAAGTCATGTACGTCTACTGAAAGGTATGTTTGTTTGACAATTATATTTTGCATGGTTTGCTGTGTGAAGATTTTTGACAGAAGTGCTGTTGTTTGGTTTGCAGTGGATTATTTTATATGTTTTATGTTTTTCAGGAAAAGACTGATATATTATTTTTAGTTTAATATTTTATGTAAGACAAAGCCTATTGTAAATTACTTAATGGCCGAAATAAATCTTGAATCTAGAGCTTCAACAACAAATAATTTAGTATATTGAAGTGTTTTTGAACAATTTAATGGTTATGGAGAAAATTCAAGAAATTGTAAATTTAAAATTCCCATGTTATTCTAAAGGAGAATAATGTGAACTATTGTAGTTTGCACGTTTATGAATATATTTTATCAAACTTAGCAAATTTATTCATGTTATACTAAGCTAATATTATTTTACTTAAAAATGTACTTTATTACCCTCCCTGTAGCAGCAAACCTAGGTACTTGTTAAACCTAAAGTTTATTTAAATAGATTTAATTGAAAATCTCATCTTAGACTAATTCGTTAATTACAAGGGAAAGTGGTTCGGATTCCAATATAAACTGTAGGTCCCTTAGCTGCAGAGCATATTTTAAGGGATTTACACTGGGCGACAGTGGTGCCAGGGGGTCGGGGGGTTTATGGAATACACCCGGTATGAAATACCCCCCAGCAAAAAGTGGTGTCTGGAGAACCCCCCGGAAAATTTTTGTATGGACTAGAGTGAAAATCACACATTAATTTCTACGTATCTTTTAATGAATTTTCCAATTATATTTGCTTGTAAATAGTCCTCCATATAATCTCACTTAATTACTTAAAACTCAAAAATATTTACACAATGTTATTTTTTAAATAGGCCTACTTTAAAAATTCCGATACATTTTAAATGTGAATCAAAAAAAAAATATGCCGGCACCACCCATAGCCACTCGGCGACAAAATCTCAGCACTGGGTGACACATGTGTCGCCCAGTTAACATGTTATTTTATGCCCTGCTTAGCTGCCATTGGATCACTCATGTTTGGGTTAAAATTTAAATACCATATAGGTTGTGTCCCAAACTCGATAATGATAATGCATGTATTGTTGAGAATGAGACAAATATTATTCAATGAGTAGCGTTTATTAATTGGTAATTTTGTACCTAAGAAAAGTTGGAACATTAAAAGAACTGTTTGTGCTAGTATTAGGATATTTATTTTTCATCTCATAGTGTAAGAAAATTCATTTGCAGTATCTATCGGCTTTCATTTTGCTTCTTCTGTCAAGTAGAGTTTCATGCAGTGATCCTGTCTTTTTGGCCTTTTTCAACTCTGATTTGTCTTCTGTGTTGATCTTCAACTTTTTATCTTGGAATTTCTGGAACTTTCTCCTGGAAATGAAGAGACAAAGTGACGTACGATGATTAATCATTGATAAAGAAAACCCCTCAATATATTTCATATAAGTTTGCCAAAAGACTGTTTATTAATCAATATATAAACAGTCATATGTTTTTCAATTGTTTTGTAAACAGAAAATAGTTTAGTATATTGTTTTGTTGAATACAATAAAGAAGATACCTAGTTTTTGTTACAATTTATTTTGTCATTTCTAATGTTTGATATTAATCGTCCGTGATATCAAAGGAATTGAATCACGTACAGTATAGTGACGATATCAATTGGCGACCGTGACAGGACTTTAAGAAGAAATGGCAAAATTAGGAGAACCACCAGCAGACCCGGTGAGTATGTTACTAGTAAAGATTTCGGCACAGTTAGATACTCAATCAAAACAATTGGATACTCATTTGGCAGGCATCAAAAATGTAATTTCATCCTCCATTAAAAAGATTTCGGAAAAACAAAACCAATCAAAATTAGAAACTAAAGTTATTACTAACACCTATGAAACAGACAAATCGGACATCAAAATTAAATACAATGAAATCAAATTCAACAACCGGGAAAATATCTTGGAGTTAGCCGAGGACTCATCGGCCATCCCGGGAGGTATAGAGATCCTACGTCAGACAGAGACGTTTGAAGACTCATCAGCTATCTTGGGAGATAGAGAAGAGATCTTTCGACGGACAGTGATGGTCGAGGACTCATCAGCCATCTTGGGAGATAGACAAGAGATCCTGCGGCCAACAGAGAGGGTCGAGGACTCAACGGTCATCACAGGAGGTGCAGAAGAGATCTTGCGACGGACAGTGATGGTCGAGGACTCATCAGCCATCTTGGGAGATAGACAAGAGATCCTGCGGCCAACAGAGAGGGTCGAGGACTCAACGGTCATCACAGGAGGTGCAGAAGAGATCTTGCGACGGACAGTGATGGTCGAAGACTCATCAGCCATCTCGGGAGATGAGGATGGGATCCTGCATTGGACCGATGCTCCTGGGGTCACGTCAACCGCAAAGGACACCGAGATACGACCTGCACTCAATGTTACGTCGTGTGAATATTTCGAGGAGGCCAAGGATACGATGAGAGGGAAGGAGCAAGAACTGAAGATCAGGCAGTGGGACAAGATGGTCCCTAAACACTGCTACAGGCAACATTGTCTGTTACAGTACCAACAAAAGGTGGAAAGGGAAAGGAAGACCAAAAAGATAGAATACCTTTACTTACAACTGAGAAATCGTCAGAAGTTGCGGCAGGTCAACCAGTCTGAGAGTTATGGTGAAGGTAGTGGAAGAGTAAGGAAAAAGAATGGTGGAAAATATGTGGAATCTGCAAGTGAAGAAGGAAGTAATGAAGAGGGATGGAGAAAGAAAGGAAGACCTTCTAAGAGAAAGACACTTAAAAAGAAAAACACCACATATTCCAAGAAAAAGAGGTTCAAGTGCAGAAATGAATCTAGATCCAAATTTAACACCTAGTTTTAAAATTTTTGAAATATATATTGAGGGTTTTGGGGGGGATGATTGACGTACGATGATTAATCATTGATAAAGAAAACCCCTCAATATATTTCATATAAGTTTGCCAAAAGACTGTTTATTAATTAATATATAAACAGTCATATGTTTTTCAATTGTTTTGTAAACAGAAAATAGTTTAGTATATTGTTTTGTTGAATACAATAAAGAAGATACCTAGTTTTTGTTACAATTTATTTTGTCATTTCTAATGTTTGTCGTTTGATATTAATCGTCCGTGATATCAAAGGAATTGAATCACGTACAGTATAGTGACGATATCAAAAGTTACCTTTTAACTACCCTAAGTAGGCTAAGTGATAATACGAGTAAAGTATCTTAACATATAAAAGGCAAAGACCTCACTGACTGACTGACTGACTCACTCACTCTCACTAATTACCATATCCTACTACCCATTTACCTAGGAGACTGAAATTTGGTACACTCCAGACTCAAGACTCCAGAGATGGATGCTACTTTGTCTAATACATTCACAACCCTATCGATGATTGAAAACATTCCATTGACAGTAGACCCGCCTTTTCCGAAACTAAACTGATTGGGGCACAAAAGTTTATGAAAGTCCTCAACCTATTTAAAAATGCCTTTTCAATCACTTTGGAAAATGTCGAAGTTGTTGAAATAGGTCTAAAATTATTTAGATCTTGAACACATCTTCTTTGCGGACTTGGCTTTACTGATAATTTTATTGCGTCTGGAAAACTTCCCGTTTGAAAGGAGTGGTTGATGATAATAACCAAAGGACCTAACAAAAATTTACAGCAGGACATCAGAAGCTTTGATGACACACTATCACAGCCTGATGATAGCTTTGTTTTCAAGGACTTGATTATTTCTACTACCTCCCCTTCTTGCTTAGAGAAAAACACCTCCTTCTGTCTAGAAAAACTAGGTTTCAGAAGAAACAGATTTCAAATCATAGGAAGAATTTCGTCAAGCATTTAAACTTCCACTGCCTACCTCCACAAAACATCTATTGAACATATTAGAAACCAATTTTGGATCAGCAATACGCGAACCCCTCTCATCCTTGATGTTTTTGAGAATATGAGAACATGGTTTAGTATACCGTAGATTATAGTAAACCAAATTTTCTCAAAATGTGTCCTCTCTCATTGCAAATGCAAAGCACGAGTATTTAACAACAATAAGCATTGTATACCAACCCCGTACGAAGGACGGGCACTCAGCTAGTGTTTTAATAAAGTTGAGAATTATTTGATATACCTAAATAAATACTCTCTTCTAACCTACCATGTCAGACTTACAGACATAACATTTCTTAACGCATACATACACATAATTCTCCTCAATCTGTGACAGGTTTCCCTTTTCTTCAATAGGCATTTCATTGCCCTCGTCAGACGCTACGACAGCTGCTGTGCGAATCTGCAGGTACTGGTCAGGTCCAGCTGTCTTGCTGAGGGCCACCAGATGTTCATCTTCTTCTCTCACTGACATGAAACAGCTGGTACAGCTGAGCAGGGCTAGCTTACCATCCTGGTCAATAATAAAAAAAACAACCAATAATTCTAATCTATTGTCAAAATCCAAATGGTTTCAAATTCTGCTACACTTGAGACCCAGTAATACAAATTAATTGGGACCAGACCCTGTTCAGATTATCCAGTGTTTCGGATTATCCGGAAATGAGATAAAATTTCATGAGAAAAACAAGGTATTTTCATTTCTGAAAATGGTTATATATTGCTCCCGCGATGACAACAACACCACGATCACAGTGACACTGATCTTTTGCGGTCACAGAAATATCCATGATCATCTCCTGTGAGTTATTCTTCTTACTAGAAAAACACATTTAAATAACAAAACTCTATTACTAAATGGATGCTTAACTATAGGCTTTTAACGGTTATTAAAAATTCCCAGTTCATACAAAATTCACATAAAATTTAAGGACTTTTTCAAATTTATGTCTGATTTCTGGTTCCCTGGTCTGCTGAACGTTGATTAGTATCTTAGAACGCATATTTTTGTTTTTAATTTAAATAAAGTAACATTTTCCCCCAACAGCTGGTTGCGATTAACTGGACATGGACTGGACAGGACATGGTTTCGATTGGCTGGATTAATGGACGGGGTTTGGGTTAGTGAGACTTCACTACTACAGAACACATTTTTAAATGTAACATGTTAAAATGGTTTGGCCTCAAAAACAATCTGCCTCCATTTCTTTCTCCACATCTTCTTTACTAACTCTCATCTTGGTCATATCTTTATGTACTTCGTCTTTCCATCCTTCTTAGGACATCAAGGAAGTCTCCTTCCTTCTGGGTTTTCACTCCACTCACTTTATCAAAGCCCCAGAAGCTCTTCTGATAACATGTCCAATCCACTTCAATCTTTGGCTTTAAGCTTCAGCTAGGAGACAGCACTTATAGATTGAGGGTTCAAACCTCACCTCGTTAAAGTCCGAGAGGTTGGTGAGAGGACTGCTAAATGGTGGATGGCTCAGGAGAATGTTAGTGTGATCAGTGGATTCTATTTGAGTTGCTCTTGAAGTCAGGATTTCTTTTACTTTTTACTTATTATTGACTGTGTATTGGTTAGGGAACTGCAATGAAGATGTCACAATAATAGAATTCAGCGCTTTTATAATATAGATTACTGTACAAAATAATAAAACAAATTGAGTACATATTGATCACGAAGTATAAATAATAATACTTGCAGGCTGGGAGGTTACAAAAGTTTTTTTAGTACTAATGTTGGGAAGAATTAATTGTATCAACTATACAGCAGATCAACTCAAATGTGTTTGCCAGGTATCCTAGAAGTATTTTACCTTTTGTTTTTCACTAGTTACTACACTTGTTACATACCTGAAAGATAGGCTCCCACTGCTCTAATGGGCCTATTGCATCTGATCTGCCAGTGACAGTGCCATCTTTATGAACACCGAGATATTTACCATAGCCAGATTTAAATGCCACTTTCGTTTCACTAACATTGATCGCAGTTAAAACTTCTTCTGGGAGAGGACCCTCACCTGTAATGTAAAAAAAACAATGTTTTGGTTAGAAAAAACTACTTTTTTTTTACCTATCCTAATACATTGTCTATGAATATTGATAAAGCTTTTTTTACTCAATAGCTAAACATTCAGGTAAGTCTGCTATCCTGTCATAAAAATCCTAAAAAGATATTTTACAAAAGTTTAGATTTTTACAATACTAAAAACATAACATGAGTGTTGAGTGAATGAGATGTAGGCCTACAGCTTTGTTACAGACCAAGCTCAGCTGTTTCTATGGCCAGGATAGTTTATTAACACGTTCAGTGCAGTCACGCGACAATCGCCACGACCGGCCTACACCAATTGATGTAGTTGCGCAACCCCCACTACATTAGTTTAGTATGAGCTCAGCCATTGCCGGGGAACGTTAAAATCGTTGCTAGTCTGTAGCTTAGAATGTGAGCTTTATTTTGGTGTAGGTTGGTACTAAAATTTCCCGTAAAATCCCGTCTGACAATGCTTTTGTCCCGGTTTCGAGGATTTTCTCTCTTTAAGCCATATTACAAAGCAACTGACTACTGATCCAGGCAGTGCTGCTACCTTTGGGTGTTTAAGGGAACTACGTCCAATCTCGGGCTAACATAGTACAATCGCCACTGCTCTTTTGTTATTCGTCAGATTGAAATATTTGAATGACAATTGCGTTCGCTGTTACAGTACCACGCCGGGGCTTCGTCCGGGTCTTGCCGCCATTGGCGAGTGCCCTTTTGGAATGCCTGCCGCACTGAACATGTTAAAATCCAATGAATAAGAATAAGAGTGTTTTTTTTTCCTTTTGACAAAGTACATGCATTTAGAATCGTCAGTTAAGCAAGGCACTGATCAAGGACATAACCAGTTTCAAACCTTAGAAGAGATTTTCACTTTTCTTAGGCTCAAACCGGCAATCAACTGATTACTAGGCTAGCTCTATCCACTCAGCTACCCAGATAGATTTAATTGTATCAATAACTAAGCTCATTAAAATCCCCAGTCATAAAATTTTAAAAAGAGAGGTTGAAAACATAAATAACTGAAATATGGTTATTACAATATTTTTTTTAATGGGGTATTGATTAAAATTAAAAGGCCTAAATTTCCACAAATAAAATAGAACTGATCTTATGACAGAAAACTGGTTTATCTGATTATTTCTTCAACTGTTCAAATAATCAGTTTATTTATCATAAACTAATGACAGCATGAATATTTCATAGCACAACGGTTTTCAACATAGTTTATAATATAAACCGCTATTAAATAAAAACAGGAAAATAAGAGTTTGGAGTGTAATATAGTGATACGAGAACAAAAATTAACTTAATTAATGATGAGTTTGGAAAAATACATACCATCCTTATGCGGTGGTCCCAAAGTGAATAGTCCATTGTCCAATGCAGTTACATAAGTTTGATTCCCAAATTCAATAGCAACAGAACCAGTAATACTTCTTACAAGATCAACTTTACTCCACCCTCCTGTAATAAAAAAATTACGATGTTCATTGTGTTTGCAAGTTGGTTGGGAATTAACATCTGTAAACTCTGGTGAATGTAGCTTTAGTATCAGGAGGTAGGAAATTAGCTCCCTATGAATCATTGAGACTATATACCACAAACAAATATCAAGAAGGATAGAAAAGTTGTTTGCTACCTATGTTATAATAGACCTATAGATCGCAAATGATATTAATTAGTCAACAGCATCATTAGTCATGCATTTATCTTTAATGCATGACTAAAGATGCAACGAGTAACTCATAGCTGTCTAAATTACCAGGTTTCTACTTTATTGCGTACAAATCTATATATTAATAGGCAAGCATGTTTCTTTAAAACCTTTTTTCTCAGTTCATGTTCATCGTAGGGAAAATCTACGCATACCGTTAGAAAACTATTTTCCTGTAGGTGTGCAGAATCCCTTCATAAATTTAAATAGGCTCAAAGATAAGCACAAAAAATGAGTTTAAAAATTTGAAAATATGAACATGGATCTTATGCGTTGCCATGCTGGTAACGAAATAACAACGAAATGTAAACAGAAAACCAAAACAAATGGAAGAAACTCAAATCACATGTTTTATTTACAGTGTGGGGTGAAAATAATTAAGTGAGTACATTATGTATTTTTGGTCGAGTTTCGACCACTGGACGACCTCTCGTTATATTTATTGGTTGTCAGTATTGTCAACCTTTACTGTGCATAACACACCACATTCCAGGAACACTGTGACCTACTTTTTGCCATCCTCACTTCAGTCTAGTGGCAGCTTTTAAATTATGTGCTGGCCAAAGAGAAGTATTATGTACCTCTCATACTGGCTAAACGTGGAATCTGACATGAAAAGTAGGATCGATAGTCCATTGTCGAGTGTTGAGAGAGGGATGTAATGTTTAGTGAGGCATGCAGGCACCTTTCTAATGAACCATTTACTGAGAGAGGCAAAAATTTAAATGATAAAGATGAATACTAACCCTTGAAAGGAATTTTATCCTCACAAGACATTAATGACTTTTAATGATGTACCGGTATAGGCTAACTGAAATACTTTTGGTGAACTATGTTTTTTCATAGTTTATTATCCCTCCGAGTGCCCATAGTTTAGGCCTTAATGTCCACCTATTTTTGGCCCCTTTGCAAGGTTTTATTAAAACGGATCTGAGAAGCTTAAAACAATGTTAATTCTAATGTTCTATATACCATTTTGTTTGGAAAATCATGGGCTTCAATATTATATATAAAACATAAGGAACATTTTTTCAAAAAAAATTTTTAGGTAAAAAAAAATATAATTTCAAAAATTTTCAAAAAAAAAAATAAGTTCGCGCTCAATGAAATTGTATAAATTATAGGCCTATAAATATTTGAAAATAGCCACTTTGTTCTAAATTTAATGAGGATTACAAATATATAATCATATAGCGAGGTAAGTTATCAAATAAATAAGTTATGAGCGAAAAACGGATTTCAGTACATAGCGTTTAGCTAAGAATGCATAGCCTAACCATAGCTAGGAATCTGGCTGATAATTTACATCAATATCACTACCTACTTCTTCAGGATCATCAACCAGCACTTCAAAACCACTTAAATCTTCTTATAATGCACCACGTATATCACTACTTTTGATTTTTAACACTAAAACAATGATAAACGTAATAAAACACATCAGTCATCGGTCCGGGGGAACCTAGCTGTTTACAAATACACGCACGTCAGCTGTCTGCTACAATATTTTCGGAACTAAAATGAATAGCGCTTAGAGACAGACCTCTGGAGAAAGCTTAGAATATTACGGAAAGAACGATACCTAACTCGATCCAGTTCAATCCTATTCAGTCAGTCATAGAGCCTTCGCCGTAAACGATGTTTGTGCGTCTAAAACTAGACGCATGACACTACACAAAGTGTGTTGTGCGTCTATTTTTTGACGCGTGACCCTCGGAGGGTTATACAATTTTTTTCATAAGTATTTGTCATTTATAGATATTTAATAAAACGGTTAAGGCAATATTGATTTATATGAGAAACGGTTTGCACAAAACAAACAATTCGAGGTGTATGATTTTATTACAACAGTCCATTTCATATTTTATTATCTTAAGCATATTCAGAAGGCTGTAAATTACATATTTTATACTTTTTTACAATTTTGGGGAATTAAAATATAATGCATACTGAAATATGGCTTTTTAATTTCACCCAGTCAAAAAGACTGTGTGTGTCAGTGCGGCCTCTGTCGGGTTTATCTGTCACTAGTGACTCCACACACTTTTAGCGAATTTCCCATATAGGGAATAAGCTATTACCGTAGTACTCATGGTAAGACCTGGACGCGGGACCGATTTTTTTTTCGTTTTGAGGTCCCTAGAGGCCAAAAACACCATCCGTTCAAATTCATATATATATATATATATATATATATATATATATATATATATGTGTCCGTCAGCACGATAACTCGAGCAAAAATGATCCGATTTTGATGAAATTTGGTACAAACGTGTAAACTTACGTTTATTCGAACGAGTTCGCGATCCAGCATGATCGGACCATGGGAACGGGGGTTTACGGGGGGTTTTATGGGGTAAAAATAGGGTTTTTCCATTTTTGACCCAAAAAACATAAAATTTAGCAATTTCTTTCCAAACCATTTTGTAGAGCTTAAAAAAACAAATAACTTAGTATATTGAAGCGTTATTATGCGCCTAATTTTTACGGAGAAAATTCCAAAAAATTTTAAATTTAAAATTCCCATGTTATTCTTATGGAGAATAAGTAAACTGTTGTAGTTTGCTTGTTTGAGAACATATTTTGATCAAATTTGGAAAATATTTTTATTTCTTACGAAACTATTCACATTAAAAAAAAAACTGTTTTACCCTCCCTGATGCAGCAAACCTAAGTACTTGTTAAACTAATTCTATTTAAATCAAGAATAAATGTTATATTTTTAAGTAGACATTTCAGTGTAAATCCAATCAGTCAAATGGAAATTCGCTTAGTCTGCAGGTTTGCTGCGGCGGGGGTATTTAGATTTAGCAGCCAAACCGCTTGCAGTGATTTAGTACAAGGCATTTTTTTACACCACATATGAACAACATCTTGGCGTTGGTGGTAAAGGCTCGAGGCACTACCAAGGGGTTAAGAATTATCTACGCTTCGACTTTGTGAACAATAACAAAAAATTCAAACCACCAGCCACACTAATTAAACACAAAACTATAATTTTTCACCAGAGGCAAGAGCTAGAAATATTATTTTAAGTTACTGTACCAGGCTTCTGTTGGTAGCCCTTGTTCTGTAGTTCTGTTCTAGATTGTGTAAGTTAGTTCTACAGTATTTTTCTCTAGCAGAATGTTCCTAATGTTTTAGTAATACAATCATTCTGCAGGAACAAAGGTTACAGAGCAAGATATTTAATTGCATTAAATGTTCCCACAAATTAAAACCAAAAGTAGGTATAAGCCCTACTAACAACACTAGGGTATTGGGATCCTAATTTAATATAATTTAACTTACCATGTTTTACTTTATCCTCATCTTCTACTGGTTCAGCATCTTTATTTCCAACTTTATCCTTATGCTTCCTTTTTCGTTTTGAACTGAAATTTAAAAAGTAGTATGAAAATATGTACAAAAATGTTTAATTGCCAAAAAAGTACCTATTTATTAAATGTAACGTTATGTCTTTCATCAAATGTCTAGAACTTAAAATAGATTTTACGACTACTAGGCCTATTGCCTGATTTTATGATTATACTAAATTTAGCTATCAATCATGAACGAGGCCTATAGTTTGATCCTATTAATTCTGAGTCATCGCCAGAATTAACCGTGTGTATACGTGCAATGTGGCCAACGAGACGATACCGGTCAGTGGCGGATCCAAGGGGGGCAAAGGGACAATTGCCCCCCCCCTGAGACTTTGGTAAATAAATCTAGTTAAATTACTAGTTTTAAATTGCAAAAAATGATTTTATTTTTGTGATTGTCTAAAAACTTGAGCTTTCAGTTTACATTTTTCAAAATTTAGACCCTCCCGCACTCCCCCCTCTCAACCGCGCCTACCCCTCTCACGCGCTTTCCCCTCTCCCGTGCACCCCCCCCCCCACCTCTTCTACGCTGCCCCTCGACATTTAGCGCTCAACACTAAGTACGTTGTCTTTTATTTATTGTTTACATATTGTTCTTTATTTACTCTCTAACTAAAGAAAGTTGTCTAAGTAAAGAAGTTGTCATGGTCATATCTTCAAAGACGGGTGGCGGATATATCCGCTGCTTTTCTACTCATCCGCGGACGGGTAGTGGATTAAGTTGTATCCGCAAAGTTAAAAATAAACAAAAATATTTTGACAGTAACTTAAGTTTATGATGTGTTCCATTGTGTTTATTATATGTATACTTGTATAACAAAGGAAAATTAATTTTTATTTTTTCCTATAATTTTTTCCCGTTTATGTTAATGTAGTACAAAACCTGTAGATAATATAGTTTGATATGAGTGGGATTGACGGTGAATTTTTATCCAATACATTTGGTGTGATTCTTGCGGACGTCCCATTGACCGTTGGACCACGCAAAGTGTTCAGAGACAAAGCAAATCGCCATGGATAAAGTAAAATCCTAATAAAGCCTTATTTAAGCCTAGGCCTACAGCAAAAGATTTAGTAAAGTACTTATAAATCAAAGTATCAGTTACTTAAACTTAGCCTACCAGTAGGCTACCTAACTTAGCGCTTTTCAAAATTTTCAAACGCCATTTTCAGTGTGAAATAAGCAAAAGTATTCAAAATATGCCAAATAGTGAGAAATTTGTTTTTCAAAATTCACTAGAAGCCCCCAAAATAGGGTAAACAAATACCATCTTGTCAAAAGTGCTGAGCCTCCTATTGGAGATAACTTTAAAGCCAACAAATGTAGGCCTAGGCCTATTTAGGCTAACTGTAAATTTAGCTTACTTAGGCCTACACCTTTAGTTTATTCGTTTTATTTTATTTTGAAAACACCTCATAGGCCTACACCGGAATGGGCACACGGAAGGGACTAAGGCTAAATGTGTAATGACGTCATATCTCTAGTGGTTATTGTCTTCTCTTGAGGCGACACGATTACCGTAACGAAACGATGTGATTTCAGCGGCGTTCGTGGCATAGTTGGTAGCGTTTCGGATTGCTGTTCAGGAGGTCCGGGGTTCGAAACCCGCTGGCAGTTTTAACTTTTTGTCAACAAATTTTTCATATCAGCAAGTTTGGTTGGTTAGGTTAGGTTATGACAGTTTAATTTTATAATACTAAATTTTAAAATTAATTTTATAATTAATTAAAAATTATAAGTAATCATTAATTAGATTTTTATCTTATATAGTTTTTATATTATCAGCAAGTCTGGTTGGTTAGGTTATGTTATGACAGTTTAATTTTAAAAATTAAAAATTTATTTTATAACTTTAAAACAATATTTTATAATTAAAAAGTTAATTTTATAACAAAAAATAAAAAATTAAAAATTAATTTAAATTTTTTCAACTTAGCAGTCCTAGCGGCGAACGCTGACACTACAAGATATGTTAGCCTTAGTCCCTCCCGTGTGCCCCACCGGGCCTACACCTACCTAGGGCCTACTTTCCAAACCTTGGCTAATGAAAATAATTAGCTTAAAATTTGATAATTTTAAGCTTAAAAGAGTTTTTTAAGCTTAAAATTATCAAATTTAATTAGAAAGACTAACCTTGATTTATCTCCTTTTAGTTTAATTTTCTTTCTAACCAATTCATATTCTGATATTGTTGACATTAAGCAGCGAGCTGTATAAATTGGGGCGGCTGTAAACAAAACAAAACACAGGTGGGTAAGCTCAAGCTAGGCTATAGGCTTAATAGGCTAGTTGTTATGTTAGTTTGATTTAAAAACAAAAACAAACAAAGAAACGAAACAGATTTTACAGATTACACTGAGACTGGATCTGGATCTGATGTGATCCGTTTCCCTATATCTCAGTCTCTGCTCTGCCTCTGATCTGGCTCCTGGGCGCTGGATCGAAAAACTGGTGATGAAATAGAAATCGTGCAGCCGGCAAATGGGGAACTTTAGAGCCCCAAAGAATTTTTGAGATGAGAATATCAATTGTGAGCTATCATCATGCCAAATTTCAGCCCAACCCTTCTAGTAGTTAATACGTGATTGAACTTCAAACAAACTTTCACATCTATATATATATATATATATATAGATGTATTATCTATATCGTGTATTATATATATATATATATATATATTTGTATGTATATGTATATATTTTATATATGTATAAAATATATATGTATATATATATTTTATGTATTTCTATATATATATATATATATATATATATATATATATATATATATATAATACGCTAAGCCAATTTTTGTGAACAAAACTCCTCCCTCATTTTTGGACCGATTTTGATTAGTAAAGTGTCAAAAAAAGTGCCCTGATCCGTAGTTTTGCAAAGTGTTTTTAGTTTTTTTATGTCTTTATTAGTTTGGGCAGGATCATCCATCAAAGTTGGGTTTTCTCCCATAAGATTAACATGGGGGAATCTAAATATTTAATTGGAAACTTTGTCTCCACTAATTTGAGAGAACGGCTTGGCGTAGAAACTTGGTAGAGGTGTCCAAAGTAAGGTCTTGGTCTGTATGATGAGTTATCAAGAGAAAAACGAAGTAAATTCGCTTAGGGCTCTGCCCCAGAAGCCTTTAAATATCCCTCCACAGATTTGTTTACATTTCGGTCATGTGGAATAGTTATTTGTGTAACTAGTGGTGAAAGTGGCACTTTGCTGCACAAGAGAGGAATGTTTACTCGCCTGCGGCTCGTGCGGAATGATCTCGAGTGCAGCAAAAGGCCTTTTTCACTCGTGTTAGGCCTACACATTATATTTTTCCTACAGTCACTATAAAGCATCTAAATAATTAGTCTTTCAAACACTATACAACACGTTTTTAGGTTCAGCTGGCTACACAAATGGTGACCTAGAGAAAATAGTACCCACGGTCCGTATCACTCCTCTATTTTTCCTCGGCAAGAAATGTGCTTCGCGTTTTGAGAATATAGTTCCGTATGTTTTTGTAATTTGAAGTGGTTTCCACGCCTAAAAAAATGCTTTAAAGGTATTTTCTTGTTTATTAAGATCGTAGGAATGTTTTAAAAACGTTTAAAAGAAAAGTCCCGAAAGTTCAGAAATACCGAAACTATAAACACGAAATGACAGGTTCAATCGTAGTTATAATAGTCAATCAGCTGCTCATAGTATTATTATCTGTGTTGCGAACCTATTTCTAAGCGTACACGGATTACGTGCATAATAGAACCACCCTGTTTTGTGTTGTTTCGTTGGAATCTTGATGTGCGCCTAGGCCTCTCGCCCACTATACGATTTCGGTCGTACGACACTGTGTCGTACGATATTCTTATCATATGGGTGGTCCTCGCCCACTTTACGACACTTTGTCGGATAAATGGCCAGTTGCTTGGTAGCCCTGGAAGAGTGAGGTGTGGGTGTGTTGCGCAATATCTTAAAACAGTGGTTCTGTATCAAATAGTAAAACAATGATTCCGTTAGTTGTTGCAATGTGGCTGCTGTGGCGTAGATTAAGCGATAGTGGCCAGTGTAGGCCTACAGCATTAAAGAAACATTTATTTTTATGCGTAAATTATTTTTTAAGTCAATGTATTTAAAGAAATTTTTAAATTATATTAGTCCATGCATTTTACAAGTTTTTAAGTTTACCATAACTATCATAGGGTTTTGGGATAGTCTGGTAAAAATTATGTATGTTAAAAATTTTTTTGATTAGTTTTTAAATATTAATGATTTAATTTTATCAATATAATCTACAAAAAATTATATTTATATAGGTTTTAGTGAAACTTTTTTACACAATATAATTAATAATTAAGATTATACAATAATAAATAATAGCCAAACTCGCATTTTTTCAATAACTATTTTAGTATATTTACCCATAAGTGATGCAGTATTTAAACATAATACCAAGAAAAATATGAACAAATTGTAAAAAATAAATAGGAAGATCAAAATTACGCAAAATAATGGTTGAAAAATAAAACCAAGTGATATATCAAACATTATAATACAAATGTATGAATGAATTGTAAAAAATATTTATTCACGATAAGAAATACGCAAAGTGATATAACAACTATAATAATGTCTAAGTATGAGTTAATTGCAAAAAGTATATATTAGGCCTCTCGCCCACTATACGATTTCGCTCGTACGACACTGTGTCGTACGATATTCTTATCATATGTGTGGTCCTCGCCCACTTTACGACACTTTGTCGGATAAATGGCCAGTTGCTCGGTAGCCCTGGAAGAGTGAGGTGTGGGTGTGTTGCGCAATATCTTAAAACAGTGGTTCTGTATCAAATAGTTAAACAATGATTCCGTTACGTGTTGTTGCAATGTGGCTGCTGTGGCGTAGATTAAGCGATAGTGGCCAATGTAGGCCTACAGCATTAAAGAAACATTTATTTTTATGTGTAAATTATCTTTTAAGTTAATGTATTGAAAGAAATTTTCAAATTATATTAGTCCATGCATTTTACAAGTTTTTAAATTTACCATAAGTATCATAGGGTTTTGGGATAGTCTGGTAAAAAGTATGTATGTTAATTGTTTTTGGATTAGTTTTTAAATAGATTTAATTTTATCAATATAATCTACAAAAAAATATATTTATATGTTTTAGTGAAACTTTTTTACACAATTTAATTAATAATTAAGATTATACAATAATAATAGCCAAACTCGCATTTTTCAATAATTATTTTGGTATATTTACTCATAAGTGATGCAGTATTTAAACATAATATAAGGAAAAATATAAACAAATTGTAAAAAAAAATAGGAAGATCAAAATTACGCAAAATGATGGTTGAAAAATAAGACCAAGTGATATATCAAACATTATAATAAAAAAGTATGAATGAATTGTAAAAAATATTTATTCACGATAAGAAATACGAAAAGTGATATAACAACTATAATAATGACTAAGTATGAGTGAATTGCAAAAAGTATATAAAAGACTACTGGGGAGAACGCACGACATACGATAAAAATCGTATAGTGGGCGAGCGCCCATTTGATTGTGTACGCCACTGCGAGTGAAACAGTCGTACGACAGTCGTGGATCACAGTGGCAGTGGACGACTGCTTCACGACAGTTTGTCGTAGTCGTGAGATTATCGTACAGTGGGCGAGCTCTCATAAGATCCAATGGTTCACTGTGGAAATGTTGTCGTTCCGACACAGTGTCGTACGACCGAAATCGTATAGTGGGCGAGGGGCCTAAGACTACTGGGGAGAACGCACGACATACGATAAAAATCGTATAGTGGGCGAGCGCCCATTTGATTGTGTACGCCACTGCGAGTAAAACAGTCGTACGACAGTCGTGGATCACAGTGGCAGTGGACGACTGCTTCACGACAGTTTGTCGTAGTCGTGAGATTATCGTACAGTGGGCGAGCTCTCATAAGATCCAATGGTTCACTGTGGAAATGTTGTCGTTCCGACACAGTGTCGTACGACCGAAATCGTATAGTGGGCGAGGGGCCTTAGCCGTACGACAAAGTATAAACCGTACGACAGAGTATAAATATGCAGCAATTAGCAGCTTTCTGTACTATAAACAGTACAAGGAAGCCAACTTTGTCGGGTGACTAAAGGAAAAAGCCTTATCGGGAACACACTTTTTATGTAGCTTTAAATAATATAGATTATATTTTGTTAGTCTTTGTGAGAAAACAGGCATGAAAGTAAAATCTTTGCAAATGACTGGGTGATTGGTTATCAAAATTTTCCCTACATGCACCGCGAGCTGCTGAAGCAAGATGTCGCATGTATAGTCCGATGTAATTCATGTAATTTACCCTCATTTTTCCTCCTGTATTGGGGGCTCTCTCTTGTAAATACTAGTTTTAACTTACTGTGTACTATATTTTGAGCGTGTAAATTTCTTTAAAGGCATTTCGAAGGTTCGTATCAGATTGTTATCGCTAATATTCGCTCGTGAAGTTCGACGTTTTCATCGTGAAATTTTGTCTGCTGAATTCGGCTGCTGTAATTAGGGAAGTCACCCCTCTTTTGGCGCTCAACAAGATAAGGTATATAAATGGGTAAAGAAACCCCTGGAATGTTCATTTGTAGTAATCTAACACTAACACTTAATCCAAATACATCTTATTGGTGTACACAAAACATATTTTATTGCAGTGTCATTATGTAGTAAAAATGCTTTAGACGCCTAGGTTAGAATGACAAGGTCTAGAATTTAGTCTTTCATTAACTTAGTAAAGCATAGCCTAATAAATTAGGCCTTTAAACCCTTGAACATACCTTAATCAACAATGGGTCTTGAAATTTTTACCATATGATAACTTAGCTTATGTAAAATATCGCTAATGTAGGTAGGGATATCTAGCATAGGACATATGTTAGGCTACATCGACAACCATTTGATCCTTAATTGAAAATATCCCGAGCATTTTGGCTTAAATAGGCCAACCACTTTACCTCACAGGTCCGTATATGAGTGAAAATTTAAAAACGTACGTTTTCATGTCCCTGGCCTTTTACTTCGTAGATACTGGATTTGTAGTTTATTATTATGTGTTTTAATATTTTTTGGGACGGGGGCAACATGTTAAACACATTTATTTGGTTTTAAATAGGTTCTTGGTATTTTTTTCGTATTTTTAAAGTCTCGAAATTCACGACCATGACGTGTCCCTAGGGTACATTTTCCAACTTTCACGCTGTTTTTAGACTAATTATTCATGCCGAAATATATAAAGCCATATTTTTATGTCATCAATGGTTATTAAACTTACAAAAAAGGAGCATATTATAATTTTATTGTCATTGCAGACTGACTACCATGACAAAATAAGTCTGTCCCTCGATTTGGCGTCACGACCATTTGGGAAAAATTTTGAACTTTGGAGCACGACAGTGGCAAGCCTGGCGTCGATGGAGTCAGTTGGTTTTAGAGACTAGTTCGGGGTGTACGTCAGGATTGTAGTGCCGGTCGTTTTGAGTTGAAAGGAGGAATTACAAGATTAATAAAGGAAAGATTGTGTTTTTTGTAATTTTGGTGTGTCCATGACCGTACGTAGTCATTCGATGAAGTAGACATGGTGTTAATTTTTGTTTATAAGATATTTCAATTGCTAGATTAACCTAGAAGTCCACTTTGTATCCTCGAACATGAGGTGCATGGCTACCGCCAGAACAGAGCCAAATAACACGTAATTTCACGACCAAAGTTTCACGACCATCGCGGTTTTTTTTCACGACCAATCCATCTTTATGGATTATAGTGTGTTTGGTCGTGACAATAACTTTAATATAATTGTAAATTGAACAGTTTAGTTAATTTGAAACACATAGTTTTATTATAACTAACAGTATAATTGAAGGATTGTTTAGAAAGATTTAGATTATTCCAGACAATTCACGACCGCACCGCTTGTCCCTGACCATCACGTTTATGATTTCTATCATAAAAATTTCTAAAATTAAAATATCGTCATATTTCAATGTTTTATACACAAAAGAAGCACACCTCTATACAAACATAACGATTTTTCGGGTCTCAGGTAAGTTTTTTCGGAGTTATACAAACTTAAGAAGATTTTATTGGCGTTTTTATATTTTTTGAGTTTTTTTTATTTTTTTCTTGAAAGACCAAATATACCAAAAGCTCAGTGACCTTTAAAGGTCCGTTATGGTCGTGACAGGATTTTGTGGTTTTCTACTAAAGATGCTCTTTAAAAAGAAAACTACCAAAGATATTGCGTTACCATGGACATTTTATGAAACTTCAAATGTTAATGAAATAAAAAAAATAATAAAAGTTTTGAAAAAAGGGGACAAAAATTTGCAAAGTGCTTTTCCTGAAAACGTACGTTTTTAAATTTTCACTCATATGTGCTGCAAGTATCAAAGTGGTTTGCTCTTTTGGTATGTCAAGCCTTGGTCAGACGACACTGATTTGCACTCCCTGGCTAAAATCAGCAGCTAGGCCTACTGCTATCAAAATATACTAAATTACACTCGATTATCCTAGCCCCAGTTATCCAAGGTATTTTTAGGCCTAAATACATAGCGTATATATTTTTTATTTTCAGTCGTAAAACAACAAATAATTAACTTAAGTTAGCCTATTTAAAACTTTAGTTAGCCTATTTAAAACTTAGAGCATGAATTTTAACCCTCCGAGTGTTATGTGTCTTAAAAGCAACTCATAACACATCCGCTGTAGTGTTATGTGTCGCTTTTGCGACTCACAAACACTGTTTACGGCGACGGCTCTGGGACTGACTGAATCGGATTGAACTGGATCGAATTAGGTATAGTTTTTTTTTTTTTCAGCAGATTCAGAGCTTTCTCCTGATGTCTGTTTCTATACGCTTTTCATTTAAGTTTGAAAAATATTGTAGCAGACAGCTGACGTGCGTATTTGTAAACAGCTTTGTTAACCTCGCACCGATGACTGATGTGTTTTATTACGTTTATCATTGTTTTAGTGTTAAAAATCAAAAGTAGTGATATACGTGGTGCATTACATAGGTTATAAGAAGATTTAAGTGATTTTGAATGGCTGGTTGATGATCCTGAAGAAGTAGGTAGTGATATTGATGTAAATTATCAGCCAGATTCCTAGCTATGGTTAGGCTATGCATTCTTAGCTCTAAACGCTATGTGCCGAAATCTGTTTTTTGCCCATAACTTATTTATTTGCAAATCTACTTCCTTATATTATTATATTTTTGGAATCCTCATAAAATTCTGAACAAAGTGGCTATTTTAAAATATTTGTGGACCTATAAATTATAACAATTTATTGAGCGCAAACATAAATTTTTTTAATTTATTTTATAATTGTTGAGAAGTGTTAACCCCACAAAAATTGTTGAACATTTTTTTTGTAATGTTTTATATGTAAGGCCTACATTAAAGCCCATAATTTTCCAAACAATGTGATATATATAAAACAGTATACTTGACATTGTTTTTAAGTTTCTAAGATAGGCCTACATTTTAATAAAACCCTGCGATTGCGCAATAAATGGGCGAACATTAAGACCAAAACTAGAGACACTTGGAGGGTTAAAATTATAGCCTATGAAATTTTAAAAAGTAAGTTTAGGCCTATGTCCTAAAATTAGAGTGAAACATTATCAGTTTAGTTATTAGTCAACATTATCACACACTAATGTCGCTAAAATGATAGGCCTCTGATTGAGCAACAGAATGAGAAGTTTATTGCTTTGTTATAATTTGATGGTAAAACTGTGTGTTCCTAATAGCCTCAAGATAAACATTGATTTGACAATGTGCTAGTTAGGCCTTTTAGTTAACTCACAATTTAGGATCAATCTTATTTTTTGCTAACATAATAAAAAGCCTAAACTTAGTCAATTTAACTCTGAAACTTAACTTAGTCAACATAGCTCCAACCTAAAGGTGAGTGAGCGTAGCGAACAAACTTCAACCAGGACGTGATTGAGCCATGCGAACGATATAATATTGAAAATTAAGACAGTTAAACGGGGCAAAGCCCGCGGGTTACAGCTAGTAACTTAGGCTATATGTGTAACTTAACTCGAGTAATTTTTGTCCGATTTTGATGAAATTTAGCTTGAAGTGCAGGGCTAGATAAACTAGAATGAGTTCACGTCACCAGCATGATCGGACCTTGGAAACTGGGTTTTACGGGAGGTTTTATGGGGTAAAAAATGGTTTTTCTCATTTTTGACCAGGCTCAAAATACAAAATTACCTATTTCTCTCAAGACCACTTTAAAGAGCTTTAAAAAAAAAAACGAATAGGTAATTTACTATGGTTAAGGTTTTTTTGTAGACGCTTATTAATTGCAGAGAAAATGCAAAAAATTGTAAATTTAAAATTCCCATGTTATCCTTATGGAGAATATTGTAAACTGTTAAGCAGTTCGCTTGTTTTACGGGTATATTTTCATCAAACTTGGTAAATTTATTTATTTATAGGGAATAAGCTATTACCTACTGTAGTACTCATGGTGTATGACCTGGACCCGGAACCAATTTACTTTTTGGTTTTGTGGTCACTGGAGGCCAAAAACACAAACCGTTCAGATTCATGTCCATTACATGATCCGTTAGTTCATGTCATGGCATGATAACTCAAGCAAGAATGATCTGATTTTGATTAAATTTGGTATAAACGTGTAAACCTACATTTGTTCGAACAAGTTTGCAAATCAGCATGATGGGTCTATGGTAACGGGGGTTTATGGGGTAAAAATATGGGTTTCCCATTTTTCACCCTAAAATCACAACATTTCACAATTTCTTTCCCAAACCATTTTGTAGAGCTTAAAAAACAAATCATTTAGTAGAAGCGTCATTATGCACCTAATGGTTACAGAGAAAAAAAAATTAAATTTAAAATTCCCATGTTACTCTTATTGAGAATAAGTCAACTGTTGTAGTTTGCTTGTTTATGAACATATTTTGTTCAAATTTGGAAAATACATTCATTTCTTAAACTATTAACATTTTACAACAAAAAACACTTTTTAACCCTCCCTGTTGCAGCAAACCTAAGTAGGCCTACTCGGTAAACTATAATTATATTTAAATAGGGAATAAATGTGATATTTTTAAGGAGACATTGTAAATTCAATCAGGCGAATGGAAATCCGCTTAGCCTGCAGGTTTGCTGCGGCGGGGATATAATTATACTAAGCTATTAGTATTCTACTAAAAAAACACACTATTAGGCCTACCCTCCATGTAGCCAGCAAACCTAGATAGGCCAACTCGTTAAACCTAATGTTATTTAAATAGAATTAGGCCTAATTGAAAATCAAATCAGGCAAATGGAAATGCGCTTAATCTGCAGGTTTGTTGCGGCTGAGGTATTTTTTTAGTTTCAATGTCCCCAGAAGCCAAAAAAACACAATTTGTTAAACATTTTTATATTAATCTGTGTCTCTGAACGTGTCTCATGGTTTTGTTGAGATTTTAATGACATTTGGCTTGAACGTGTGGGGCAGGATGAATGAGTTTAATTATTTTATCAAATAATTGTGTTAAGTTAATGGACTCTACAAACATTT